AATCTGGATTCATTGGCAATGGAAAATCTTGCAAACGTGAGATATATGTTTAATAATCCAGTCACCCATCTTTCAGCTTCCCCTCAGTTATCTTATGTCAGTCGATTTATTTGAAAAAACAATACCACAAGCCATACCAGAAGCAAAGATAGTGGTCCCTTGAAGAAACTCATTCATCCAATACCATGACAGACATACTTTATCGTGAATAGGAAAAAATATATTTGACGGTCGCCATATGTTTCTTCTTACAGGAGCTAAAGACTGTGGGGAGCTTTATAACGCTGGAAAGAGAAGCAATGGCGTTTATATAATCAACCCTGATGGCTCAGGTGACTTTCATGTTTACTGTGACCACACAACCTCTGGCGGGGGTTGGACTGTGTTCCAGAAGAGACTGGATGGCTCTGTCAGCTTCTATCGCGACTGGAGCAGTTACAAATATGGCTTTGGTTACACAAGTAGCGAGTTTTGGCTCGGACTGGAAAATATACGCCGTTTGACCAGCAGCGAGGACTACGAGCTTCGTATTGATATGGAGGATTTTACTGGGACTACTGTTTATGCTGAATACACTTTGTTTGAAGTTGAGAGTGAGGGATCCAATTACAAGTTAAACCTTGGAAGCTACTCAGGTAACTTTGCTCTCAATACTTCTTATCTCATTTCACTGCTAGTAAAACAAAGCCAGGGTTAACGAGGAACCAGTCATTCTTTGTCGCCTTGGGAGGGGGTATTTATTTACGGAGTGTAACACTACATAGTTACAAACTAATGAAATTGTGGCCCTCTTTAAGGTAAAATGAACATGATACATAACCATAAACATAGAATTTAAAAACCCTAATTGAAAGCAGGCATACTAACTGGATCTATACAAAGCGCTGTCAAGGATTTGAACTGGGGGCAATCGAGAGCAAATCCAGAGAGTAGCTGGGTGCAGGGCTTGGACCCAAGATCCCTATAAGACCAGCGCCCTGGCGCATCCTCTTGAATTCCTTTAAATAGAGGGACTGTTTGACAAACTTCCTTAGGAAGTACTAACAGCATAATCGCGATCTTTCGATGATATGGATTTTGATTTGATCAGGAACTGCGGGAGACTCGTTTTCTTATCACGATGGTTATCCATTCACAACAAAAGACCGAGACAATGACTCACATGGGAAAGGAATTAACTGCGGTAAGGTTTGTACAGGAGGCTGGTGGTACAGACATTGTTGGACCAGTAATCTAAATGGTCATTATTACCAAGGATACTACAAAAAACCAGGCTTTTGGCAAAACGGCGTTGCCTGGCACCACTGGAAAGGAAATGACTACTCACTAAAGAGAACTGAAATGAAGATTCGATCAGTAAACTTTTAGTTCTCTTTTTTGGCCTCCAAGTTTTTCTAGTTTCTTTCTTTCTTTTTTTTTTTTTTTTTTTTTTTGGAGGAAAATTTTCTACTTAAGGCTTAGACGAGTAGACTTCGTCTCGAGGATTATTCAACAATATTCACATCGTCTTCAGTGAGTAACTGTAAAGTACTCCTGTTATTGCTAAATGTTCGCGTTAATCACCTCCCTGGTAGCTTTTGACATAACGCGAGGCAGCCAATTAGAAATTTAGCGCCCCTGCCTTGCTATAATCACTTCGCACAAGGTGATCATAGCGAGATGTGACGCAATCCTTGAGCGAGAATTTCTATAATCACTTGAGCAATTATACTAAAATTATTTAGTAGCAACAGCTTATCGTTTGTAATTTCAACTTAGAGCTGTAACGGTTTGGTTTTCTGGGGGGTGTCTAAAATATAGTGTCTTTAATTACCTTTGTTAATGCATATGTGCTCAGATAATGAGCTAAATTATTTTCACATTTTGATTGGCTAAATTACTCACGCATTTTGATTGGCTAAATTACTCACGTGTTTTGATTGGCTAAATTACTCATGCATGATTGATTGGTTCTTATTTGTAATCTTTGGGAGGATATATAAATGATGTCACCTTTAACAACACATACGTTTCTTATAAACGTATTTTCTCGAATAAGCGTCTTTACTCGAATAAGCGCCCTTCCCCTCATAAGCGCTTACCTCCAAGGCCAAAACGCCAAGTAAGCGCCCCCTTCGCATAAGCGCCTCGTGTGCCACTTTTGTATTTTTACCACATTTTGACATCATCTTTGATGTTTCACTACTGAACAGACTTATGGCAAAATGGAACACATTTGTTTAACGTATACTTAAATATTATGCTATGTTTTGAGCACGATTGTATCATATACCAGTGTTGCTGCTGCCTTAGTTTATATGATGGCAGTAACTGATACATTGAAAATATGTGAAGTTAATTTTGTTGGTGTATTTTACACTCGTAACGTTGTTTTCTTATCGCTGTTTGTTTCATCGTACCTTTTATTATTGCTTGACTCGGCATTATCTGTGTCGATTTGAATACGTGTACTACAATATATCATAAGGGGACCCTGAGGATCTCTTGGTATGCTGCTATTAGGTATATTTTATGTACAACTTTATCACGTATTAGCGTAACACTATTAAATGTCACGGGAAACTAGCTTTCGAGTACACCATGCTCGGCGAAAGTCACCAAGACTCTCAAACTGTCTCTTTCTTGTTTTTCTTTAATTAACCGGTTCTCCAATATACAATTTTACTCACATCCAAGTTTACTTCATCCGTGTAACTCTGGTTAATCTCATAGGCTCCAGTAACACTTTGATTCTCACAGGATACTTCTCACTGACTTGTGCTGCTAAGTCAACAACAGAATTCTGTCTCAATACTTCTGCACACTGTCGACATTCTTCCCTACTCTCTCTTCATTAAGTAAACTCTAAAGAACATGCCTTTATATTTACTTATGACAGATATGGGAAGGCATGGCAACTGGCTGACCTTAGGGGATCAAACATTTGTTGTTAGAGCATTAAACCAAACAATTTCATGCGACTTTCGAAATGAACAACAAAGCACTTAATCATAATGCTTCCGATAAACTGAATCAACCACTGGCTGTGTGAACCAAAACAAAAACTGTCGTGTGGGTCCAAAGCAAGGTCAGTAAAAAGTGACAAATTTTAACCGATAGTCGCAATAAAAGTTAACCGTAAAAAAAATTATGGTGACAATGATCTAACTGTTAGCCGTAAAATGGCAAAAATTTTAACTGTTAGCTGTAAAAGCCATCACCACCAGCTGTCTTGGTAAATTAAAATTGTAGCCAGTACATAAATCTTTGAAATTTATGCCGTCTAACCGGTGAGAGGTCATGATACTATAAATGATAGTGGGTTATCAAACCTACGAATTTTTAGGGATGTCTGTAAATGTTCTCTTTAGCGCGTGCCAAATTAATCGTTGGAAGAGCAAACAACCTGAAAACCCCAACTCAAACTCTGGCGTGCAAAACCTGGAAAACTATGTCCAAGATCTCACATGACTTCCTTGAAGTTAAATGTTCAACTGAGTATCTCCAATCCTCCAAAACAAGAAATTTCGTGGTCTGGACCAAAGCGCAAATAAATAGAATGCATGCCTTGGTTAGACAGTATCCATTTCTTTCGCATTAGACATTGGATGATATGAAAGGATTTAGTGTCTGACAGCACTGAAATTATATATTCCGCCAAATTCCCGGAAAGAGGTTTTACCGAACAGGTAAGTAGTATTTAGTCGTTTCAAGCATCAAATTTCAAGAGAGTAGATGCAATTCACGAGGGAGCATTCAAGGGAAGAGACTTCCAAAGCTGAATGTCACATAGAGGACCGACGAAGTTTCTACAGGATCTTAAAGAGTTGATGATGCCCTTATCTTTTCAATGTAACCTGCCCAGACTGCAACAGTACTGTGAGGGCAGAGAAACGATCGTGGTTATGCCAAAAAAAAATAAACATCGTGATTACCGGAGAGCGAAACAGAAAGGGGTCTGTTTTTCAACCTCTGAAAGACGGCGCTGTTCATCAATAGAAAATGACATATTACTGGTTGGTTTTGGAAAAATCTTCAAACTATGTTTTTTTCATTTAGAAAGACAAATGTTTGAAGGTGGTTACATTTAATACTTTATTGATCAACTATCTTTGTTCAAAATAATACCATGTCTGTATCCCAGGCTCGGCTCTACTGACGCATTTACATCTCTGCGAGTTACATTACTGAACAAGATGAATGTTCTTTATAAGGGTCGTTTCCAGCTGGTTTATGAGGAGAGCCTTTTGCGCATGACAGTAGAAAGTCTTCGTTGGCATGTCGCTTGCAGTGGTAGACCAGATCAGCACACACCTCGGACATCCTTGATCGTTTGATATCCTTTTCCTGTCGCAACTGTGCTATCTCCTTCCTCAGTGAAAGCTTCACCATGGAGTCACACGATGCCATACCTGCATAAGATATTAATCAACTCAATGGTGGGGTGATGATTGGGTTGATCCTGCACACATATGGTACTAGCTTGCAATTCTGTTCTTGAAAATAATAAAGCTGTGCTAAGAAGCATCAATTTAGATTGTGCAAGAGATTGTGCTGGTATTTTCACTTCATAACTCTAATTTCCGGCACTTTTCATCATCTGAGAGCTTTGTGGGCTCTGTTCAGCCTATGTATTGAATGAGCAAGATGAAAGAGGAAAATACCTCGGCAGTCTTTGAGAGAGTTTGATAATCGTGCTCTGAAGATGAACCGTAAGCGCAATTATATCTTGGTAATATTTTGTAAGAATTTTGAAATACGTCGGACGGAAATGATTGTGAAATTTGTTTTCTTAACTTACACTGAACACAAACAAGGCAGTTTTGACAGCAAGGATCCTTTGCGACCTTTCTTACACTTTCCCTTCATAACATTTTTACTGGCTCAACGTACCCCAAAAATAATTCCTCCAACAGATAACCAAACATTTTTTCGATGGTGAGGACTGAGAATTTGAAAAAATATCGAAGCTAGTGTATTCCCTAATCGATTATTCACACTATAATTACCGCCTGCGTTCTTGATAATCTGCAAAATGAAATGACGCGAACTTCATTATTCATCCTTCTGCCCTGAAGATCAGTGGGTATTAGCACAACCAACATGGGCTAATCCAGATCGCACCGAAATTCATTTATATTCAAACGTGAAATTTTTGCTTGCTTATCATTCCTTGCCATCATAAATATTTTTTCAGCTTTGAATGATACAACACTGATTTTTTAGGACGCAGATCGTTGTGTTGATTCTAGTCATCTTTAGGGAAGGAATAAGGAAGTGTTATCCATTTCATCATAATATTTTGTTCTTGAAAATTCTCTTGATCGTGAGATACTTTTTCGTTATCTAAAGTAGTTAAGATATTAAATTCTGTATACTTTAAAGGGTACGTTAATGGTTTCATTTTGTCGTTGAAAAGCACCATGAATGAGAAACATGCACAACCATACCTGTTTCTTTGTTTAACGGATGTTTTTGTAATCAGGTACATCCATTGTATTCTAAAAGTCACCTCCTCTTCAAAAAAGGTGTTTAAGGCGAATAAAGAAACAATTTGGATGCAAATTTTACAGAGTCTTGTCATTGTAAATATAATTTTTGACTAACGTCGTCATTTAAAATGATGCCTGATAAAATTTTTTCCCGCCTAGGGTACGGCTCCATTGCCATGTTATATGTCGGCGATCTTTTCTGTTGGATTTATATTCGTAAGTAAACTTGGATATCTTATTTCAAAATTTTCGTTCACGAATTTCAAAAAACTGGCCGTGTAGATTGTAATAAAGTTACTCCTCCTTGAAGGTAACTATGATTGTTATTCCATATCTACTGGTAAAACACAATTAAATCTTTGTCAGTCTCATTCACGCTGTTTCAATCTGTACCGGACTGAAACTTAAATCACTCAGTATGAGTAGTTTAAAGTTTCTATTACTGGCCTTTTTTTCCTTTGTATCGTCGATCGAAATCTAAAATGCATACTCCTTTTTTTTTAACCAGTATTAGCGTACCTGCTTTTTTAGCCGTTCGTTGTTCTTTTCGTTGGGAAGGATCTAATTTTGAAAATGTAGCTCTACTGCAAAGACCGCACCAAGCGTCAAGGTCAAAAGCGGTCTTTTTCCAGTGCTACTGTTATTTTATCACTCATGCCGGCTTCAGGGTCATTGGTCGGCGGTGTTTTCAAAGTATAGATAAAAATCCCACAATTCCAAAGCAGCATTGATGTCCTCGTTACATCTACGCGATGGCCACAACCTACCCAGAAAAAATGTTTCTTTTCTTCTCTGTCTATAGTTAGTTATTCTGATTAGACACGGAAAGAACGCCGCAGCAAGGATCATTTTTTTAAATAATCTTAAAGTTTATATGAAATGCCTGTCCATTTTTGCATATGTATTTAGTGTCATTAAAGCTTCTCAATGTGCGTTATAAGGCGATTGCGAAAGACATGTTATAAATCTCATCGAATAAGGTAGCTCTTCCTTACAACGTCAAGACCTATACTAAATGATCCTAAACGCAGACGTTAAGGGAGGATGTGGAAAAGATTGAGGAGAATTACGGGGATGTTTTCAGTGGAGCACGTGGATAGTTTCGAGCAAAATCTGACGAAAAATATGTATCACACTGAACTCAGATTTTTTTTTTCAGGAAAGAATTACTTCGTAGCAGACGCAGGTATTACAGGAAGTTCTCAATGGGGTTAACTGTTAGTCGCAAAAGGTAAAAAAATAATTTAGCCGGTATGCATGAAAATTGTCTTAAACAAGCTAACTGAAAAAACATTTCCTATCGACGACGTGTTCTTTTGAAAGTTTCACAATCTTAGACTGTTACATGTCTTGTCGTGTGGCTGATGCAGGAAAACGGAAAATTATCCCACATAAACCTACCCTTGATGCATGACTCTAATGACTTTCAAACTATGAAAATTAATCGTTAACTCTTCAAGATGATTAAATTTTATCTTGAGCATTTATGTTAACTGTAACGTAAAGAAATTAACAGATAGCCGTAAAAACCCATCACCCCAATAAAACCCTCTTAAGATCTCTTCAAGGTCTTTTACGTCGAGTTGCTCCGCAAATTAAGTGGTTGATAAGGGTGATGCTTTTATAAGTTGCCGACCTCAACGATATGGGATTCATTCAAAGGAAAGAATTTCATCATATTACGTCCTTTCTATAATGAACGCACGAAGTAATTCTCAGTTACTAAAATGGGATACATAGCTCTGACGCATTGCCAGTGATTTTTATCAAAACAGCAGTGGTGACGCCTCCTTTGGAAAACAGCCTCTCTTGGAGACCAAACCTCGTTCTCACCTATAATACCAACTTCATTTTTTTCTTCTTTCTTTTACTCCTTTTTACAAGTTCATTCTCAGCTCAAATTTCACAAATCATCTTTTGACCCTCTTATTTCCACCATTTGTAAAAGCGAAAGTTTTCGAGTAAATTCTCATGTTGTTATCATATAACCTCATAGATGGCTGCAGAGTCTTACCATGGAAGTCATTTTGTCGCGGTGAGCATGTTTTTTGTCGCTGATGAAGTTATGAGATTAGATCAGAGTGGTTCTTAAGTGTCAAAGATTCTTCAGTAATTATATAAACGTGAACCATAAAACTAGAATTGCATCAGGCAGTTTTTTTAACTGCTATTTTATCTTCTACAGCGCAGAAACCTCCTCCAACTGATGCCGGATGCAAAAGATGAAACAGAAGGGGAAAATTGACAACGAAGATATCCAAGCCCAAAGTGTCGTGTTCCTTCTCGCTGGATATGAAACTTCCAGTACCACCCTGGGGTTTGTTTGTTATCACCTCGCCATTGAGACACATATGCAGAGAAAAACTGAGAGGCGAGAGAGTGACTAACATCTTATTTCTCGTTACAATATCAGCCCCGTATCACACATGTAGGTCACCAGAATAAAGGAAATGATGATCAACTAAAGAAGCTTTTGATTAGTTAACAAATTCTCCTTCTCAGCATCTCAGGAAATGTACAGAGAATGGCATAGAGAATTTGCATACTGATGTCTGAGCGTAAAGGTTTAAGGAACCATCTATGAAGTAGTCATGAGTTCGAGTCTGTCGAAAGACAACTTGGTCCCCTCAAGCTAAGTATTCATTTTGTCAATGTTCCACGCATGATTTTGGCAGGTTCACTGAAGCACCCTACACATGAAGCACCCTACACATATATGCCATTTCGTCACTCTCACAGAACTGTGTCGGTATGCGATTTAGTTTGCTGGAAATTATGGTGACCCTGGTGAGATTACCGAGGAAGTACAAGCTGGAACGCACCAAGGAAACAGCGGCGAGTTACGCAGCATGTCAATGGTTGGATGGTACAGCAATCCATACCCCTCCTCCCTCCCTAACAGATCGCGCTGTAATCACAAATCGTGTCGCTCCCGGGTCATAGACTAATTTGAAGACATCATAACATGTTTAAGAACAATTGTAGCCTCTAAGCAATTTTGCAACGGCGGTCACTTAGTTACCTGAAGAACCTTCAGGTACATATGTTCTAGCTGTTCATGTCTTCCTTTCGTTCACATGACTTGCTAGATTCGCTCAGCTCTCGCCTGAGAGGCCGGCGGTGGTCAGTGGTCAGTGGTCAGACTGCAGTGATCATAAATCCATTTGTATCTTTGGTGAGGCTAACTTAATTATATTTTTTTTACTTTCTAGGTTCCATTAGGCTTTGTTGTTGGTACTCTCCTTACCTGCCCACAAGCACAAATTATGCTGAAAGTCTTACCCAGAACTTAAAAGTAAAACAGGTGCATAGCTTTTCCCTTAACATTAGTGTGCTTTGAGTAGATTGATTTGATTAACCAAGATTGACCAAGCTATTGGCCACGGAGCCAATGTTATTGACTTGTGTACTCACCCATATACTCTCTCTCTCTTTGATATACAGGTTCTTTGTTAATTATAAACATTTCTTTGATGCAATAAACTTGCTGCCCCATGCAAAGTTTGTGACTTCAACTTTGATACTCTTCGCTGCTCTAGCAAGAAAAGGGAACGGTGCCCTCGAAGACGCTTTGTAGAGTCCTCGCTTCCTAAACGTGAAACTGAGAAGGAAATGAGGTGTATCTACAAATTTATCCGGTGTGATTTGCTGCTAAACGGCAGGAGAGTTATCGCTTTACCTGATAACACGACTGTATTCTGATTAAAGTTATCGCCCTTTGTTCAGTGGATCACTTTGCCTTAAAGATTTGATGCCGTCATCATTTAAGCACTACAAAATCAGCTTGTCTCTAAATAAGTCTTATTAATGGTTTCAAACTCAGGGCTGAAATTTTGGTATTGCTGAGCTCAGCAATATTATGACTATTCATTAGGAGGTTTTACGCTTAATTGACACTCAGTCGGCTACAAGAATCAATATTTCAGTTCCCTGCGAAGCAGGCATTAAATATCAAATTGAAGTATTTGTGAAAATATTAAAACAAAGGAGATTTCCAGTGTGATTGCATTTAGCTATAAAGATATATTAAGGTGTACTAAATAAAGGTGTATTACGAAATAACTAAAAGCTACCCTGCGACAAAAAGAGTCCTCGATTTCGTATTTTGGCCTGTAGTTTCGATTTTAAATCAGTAGAAATTAAGATATCGACCAGTGCTCTTTATTAACCGATGTTACAGCACCTGCTGGATAAGTTAAGTTCGGCTTAGCTTACAAAATATCTAAAAATATAAACATATTTTATTTTGCCAGTTATGGTAAAAGGATTGCGTGATAATGACTAGTGACGCAGTTCCGGTAATAACAAAACCTACTTTAACGAAATCTTTAGCGCTGAAATGCGCGCTCGAGAACGAAAGTGTTAACGACAGAAAATCACTCTCTTTTCGCTGAAATATATCTTCTTTTTTGAAATTCAGTCGATTTATAAGGAAAGGATTACTCACTTCTTACAGAATACGAAAATTTATTAATTCGCCATGAGACGTGACAAATAGTTATGCACTTCAACATTACATATGCAACTAAATTTAGGTATTACATTTCCAACACAAATCAAATTATGCATGCAACCTCAGCTATATAAACAACAGACCTGTGCATGACGAGCTTACCGCAGCTGCATAATCTTTCGCTACAAGTTACTGCACTTCACACGAAGTAGCACTGGTAAGTTTTGAACTTTTGCTAAATACCTCGAATCAGAATTGAGGCAACCTCTTCCTTGCCATTTCTTGCTGCTCGATGCTTAGAGTTCGTTACATCACCCTTTTGGGGCATCGGTCTCGCATGAGGGCAGTCGGTTATGATCGCACCGCTAATTTTTTTTTTGTTTTCATAGAGAAGATCTAGAAAACGTGAATAGAGAAGGGAAATTTCCAAACTTTACCATAGACAGCGACTCGACCTCGAGAAAATACTGATTTAGCTGTATTTATTGCAAGTTCAAGCAAACCACAGCAAAGATGGCGGATTTTTTGCAAACAATAATTCAGTTCGAGAAGGATCACTGGGTGGCACTCTTAGTTGGGTTCCTGGTTGTATTGTTTTACTGGTAAGTATTGACAGTAAAATGAGCCAGAAATGCAAAGTGTAATTGGTTCAGAAATACGTGCCAGGATTTTCTAACACTGCGACATTGAATACTCAACCGTGCGTACTGAACAATCGAATGTAACTGTTCAATTGACTAGCCAAATATTGTACTTGGCTGTGTACTTGTGCTCGGTAATTGTACAAGTGTATAATCGAAAGTATAAGCGGAGATCAAAAGAGCACAAATTACACAAATCGCTCTCACATGCGATCAGTGCCGTAGATAAAGTTTTTGAACAGACGGTAGTGTTCTTTTCTTTTGGAGATCTTGGAAGAAAGAACAAGTAACAGTTTGCAGTCACGTTAAGTCTAAGCCCTGTAGGAGAAGATTTAAGGTGCACTATAGGGGAGATACTGAAGCTAAACACAAAGAAAGAATTTAAGTAACTTATTCAGCTGTTTACATGGGGATGTTTAGATATATCATATACCAAGCTGTTTTGTTCCTACACAAGGTACTGTGTTGCCCCATTCACTGTGTTCATGAAACTTGGAATCAAGGGACCAAGACCACTTCCTTTCTTTGGAAACTCAATCAGGAACCTTTTTGATGTAAGTCAGCACTTAATTTTCTGGTATAAGATTTATGATAGAATAGAAATGTTAGTGCCAATGTTAACTTTTTACCTGAAAAAAAATATATATATATATATCAGAGATTGGAATAGTTCAAAAGTTTGCACTAGTTTAAATGTTGAAACAATCAACTTAAAAATTACTTGTACAGAACTGTCAATGTTTTTATGTTTGATTTTAGCCAAACATTCTTCCAAAACTTCATGTGGAATGGTACAAGAAGTACGGCAAGGTGTTTGGGTATGTGATTTCTTATTCATACTCAATGATTGTATAAATAATCATCATGCAGCTGAGAGAGAGAGAAAGTGCAAATATATAAGATGGTATAGCACTCCATACTCCTCTGGCTCTGCGTCTCAAAGCTGAGTTTGATAAACTCACTTGAAACTTTTAATAAGTAATTGACAATTATCAGTCTATTTACTACACTTAAAAAAATTATGCAAGAATAATTTGTTTTTCTTTTAGGATATATTTTTTCCGTCAGCATATGCTAATGGTTGCTGATCCAGACATGCTTAAAGAAATTCTTGTTAAAGATTTCTCTAAATTTCATGACAGAAAGGTAAGTTAGAGCCCCTGTTTCTTAATTTTTATGGTCTTAATTGCATTAATTGCTGTTTAATAATCCATGGCTTCTTCTTACACAAACCCTTCTGAATATTTTCTTCTTCAGTTTGATATGGATTGTGGAAAGTCTTATCAAATTATTGCCCCCTTGTTATTTGTACAATGAAATGTTCAGTATTTACCTGAGGCTGAAAAAGTAACTCTACCACACCATCAAAATGCTTTGAGCATCAAGGCTTTTGTGTAATTTGTACATCATTTGAATAACATTTTAAAACCTGTAAAAATTATTCTCTTAGCCCATTGTAGAGATTCCAAAGCCTTATAACAAAATGTTAACCATAGCACAAGGTCAGAAGTGGAAGGATATTCGCAACACTCTGACACCAACATTCAGCGCATCTAAAATGAAACTGGTATGTTCATCTGTTGTCATGTAGGTGCTAAATTAAACGAGTGACATGCTATATACAATTAAACTGTCAATTTTTTTTCCATAGTTATCAAACTAATGGTGTAGGGAAATGTTTCAAAAAATCCAGAATATAAAAGCAGCATGAAAATTCACTACCTTCAGTCCAATAGAGACACTTCAATTCTTATCAATTGCTATCCATACAGTATGTGCTACACAGTGGCTATGACTAAATTAGATAATTACCTGTGTTATCTAAATGACATCTCTTCCATGAAATAAATGTTTCAGATGATGACTTTTATGAATCAAGCTTTGGATACATTTTTGTTGAAAGCGGAGAATGCTTCCAAGACTGGAGAGATTGTAGATTTCCACAGGTAGAGTTATATCATAACAATTAAAAGATATATATAGTTCCCATTTTTATACTTCCAATTGAAATTTCCCCTCCAAAGGTTTTGCTGCTTTTTGTTTCCTTACTCTTCCCAAAGTGGGACTTTTTATATATTTCAAATGCCACTTACTGACTTCCACTTTTTGCTCTGTAGGTGGCTTCAGAGTCTTACCATGGAGGTCATTTTGTCAACTGCATTTGGAGTCAAAGCAGAAACGCAAACAGTTGAAAATGATCCAATCACTGAACTAGCAAAGAAGGCCATGGCTCCACACCCTCTTGTTGCATTAGTGTGTAAGGCATTTTCTCTCATAACTGTCTTTGTCACTACAATTATTTTATGGTGAATTTATCCACAACGTTATTATATGGACAGCTATGGTAACACATTTCCTGATTGGTTATCATTGTCATTTTGTAGTGTTATTACCGTTTGGAGACCGTTTATTCAAGTATCTTCCAGACCCTCTTGATTTTGACAAGATTGGGTCTGTAGCAGCCGACATTATTGCTGAACGGACTAAAGAAAATGGAAATCGTAAGGATCAAGTAAGTTGGTTTATATTCTTTATAGACTCAGTACAATAATAGGATTACTCTTGAAAAAAAAACCGCCATGACTGGGCAATTCCTATTTTAACTAATTTCAATATATAAATATGATTCTTTAAAGCGAAAAGACATGCTCCAAATGATGCTGGATGCAAAAGAAGAAACAGGAGGAGAAAAAATTGACAATGAAGACATTCAAGCCCAAAGTGTCGTATTCCTTCTCGCTGGATATGAAACTTCTAGTACCACCCTGGGGTTTGTTTGTTATCACCTCGCCCTTGATACGCACATGCAAGACAAACTGAGAGACGAGATTGACCATATGTGGCCTGGAGACGAGGTATGAGGGGGCTTAATTTGCTGATTTCCAGAGTAGAGGTTACCCCGTTTTAATATCATTTGATGAGAGAAGTCAAAAGCTGTTGTAGAACAACTTCAACAATTATCCATTCACCTCAAAACGCTTCAGATGTACGTAATATGGTACGAATACGAGAGTAATTTCCGTAAATAAACATCCAAGAGACTGAATGAACACTAGAACAACAAGAACAATTGTAAAATAAACAACAAACAGCACTTTTAAATGATCTTCATTACCAAATGGGAAATCGTGTGAAATAAACACACTCAACAGTTGAACAAACGAGTTCTAATTCAGGCGTTGCTTCAATTGTTTTAATCATTAAATCTACAGGCGTCGCCGTCGTATGATGTCATTCATAAGATGGAATACCTCGACATGGTTATCAACGAAGCACTCAGAATGTATCCGCCAGGATTTGCGTACGTTAGCCTTAAAGACCTAGCTATAACTTGTGTTTCTCTTCTTTCTCCTGGAACATAACGAAAGGATCAAAATGTGCAGTGTACACTCTACCTAAAATGGACATTGCTTTGTTTTCAAAAAAGCTTTCAGTTTAACGAGAAACTCCGATGAATACCTTCTTGTTCTATGTAAAATGTACCCTCATTTGCAAACGGTTCAATCATTTCGCACCCCAAACTTTCGAGGCAAATAAAGGGAGCCTCATTTTAAAGTATCTTAAAGTTGAGGAAACGTTGAGATGAGACGGTGGGAAGACTGGCTCTGTGAATTACAGAGAACAATTTTAGGTCATTATGCCAGCCCCTCTCCCAAAATCGGTAATTTACTGAGCTAAGCCTGTTTTGCAAACGGTTACTGTCTAAGTCGATGATTATTATGTTGTACATTGGAATATTTTCAGTATTTCTTTGTTTTCATCTTAGAATCCAGAGGGACTGCAACGAGACTTGCACTATCAAAGGAGTTACAATTCCAAACGGAATGCCAATCTTGGCTCCGATTTATGCCATTCATCATGATCCAGAGATTTATCCGGATCCCGAAAAGTTTGATCCAGAGAGGTGAGCCGTGAAAGGCATTCCTATTTTTCTCCCTCTTCATTTAAGGCTACGTTTTTACTGCTTTCATTTCTGTCATATGCAGAGAATTGAATACAGTATTCCAATCTCGTCAGGTTTCCTGTAATTCTTCTATAGCGATAACTCTTCTCAGATCATTGAAATGTGCAGAAAATCGCTGTGTAAACTGCGGGCTGTGTGAACTTGCATTGAACAGCCCAGTGAACGCTCTTTGCTAGGTTAAATTATCACACCCAACGTATCATGTAGTTATTTGTTTCATCTACTGATTTATGATATTTTTTGTGCGTTGATTTTGGTAGATTCACGGACGCAGAGAAAGCAAAGCGTCATCCCTACACATATTTGCCGTTTGGCCACGGTCCACACAACTGTGTCGGTATGCGATTTGCTTTGCTGGAAATTAAGCTGACTCTGGTAAGGCTGCTGAAGAAGTTCAAGCTGGAACGTACCGAGAAAACAGCGGTGAGTTTGGTTATTTGGCATTGGCTGATGCTAAGTTAATGCCCATGATGCTTGCTCTTTGCCTTCCTAACTGATTTCAAACAAGATCTTTTGGGCTAGTTTCCCCATAAGGAATAAATTGATCCTCTTAGGAGACCAAAGAAAAAATTGCAGAAATTTTAACCTAGAGATAAAAATTCAAGCTTGCCATTGCCTCCCAGGTACCTGTAAGGCTCTATTACCGACTGCAAAGCTACACATATAGTATCAATATGATTATCATAATTTATGGGCCATTTTAAGGCAAGACACCTTGTTTAAAGGAAAAAGAAGGAGCGATGTAGAGGTACGAGTGATTGGCGCTGTAACTTTTCAGGTCGATTTTAGCGTCCTCGACTTCTGTCTACAAGTATGTTGGCCAGTAGATAAATTAGTAAAACTGGTTATTGAGCCTTTTTTATCTTCGCAAAAGCCTTATAACAAGCATTTTTATACAATTAAAAATTGAAAAGATAACTTATTTTTTTGTAATATATTATCAGGTTCCGCTGGGCTATGTTGTTGGATCAGTTCTTACCTGCCCTTCAGGAAAGATCATGCTTAAAGTTTCACCCAGAGACTAATACAAGAGGATACTACATTACCTTTCAAGTACACAAATATATGTGTTTGGATAGATATCTAACATCCAATTTCACTATCGTAAACCTTTGCATGTTACGTATTTGCATGTATACTGAACTAAATATGCTGGCAAGTAGAATATAGCGATGATGAAGGAAATAGGGATCTTTGTAGTTCTTCCAAGATTAAAAAATTCTCACGAAATAGTATTGTTGCTGATTATGCTCTAGCCATTGACTCGAGCTGTTTCTACTTATGTTGTGATAATTCTCTATCAAGGTTTTCTATCAAGTTCAGGAGGTCAGGGTTTTTTAAGTGCTTACGGGTTCATTGCTGTTTTTTTCTTGAATAGCCCACATAGCGTAACCTCTTGAATTTTATAATACCCAGTTATCGTAATTCAGGGCTAGAGCATTTTTCTTTGTATTTAAAGATATGTAGTAAAACACAGACAGGCAACATGTACCGTGAAAATAGGTTTTTATTAGTGATAGAATGATAACGTATGGTGATCTCTTAATCTAACTGTAAATTTAGATCTCATTTTGACATCAATAAACTACCTATCAAAGTAACGAAGAATATGTCTCTGTTCGATGCATTTTAGCGCGATCATTTAATTTTTATCTCGGTTTGAGTGATCAGTGCATGGACAAGAGTTGGCCAAATGCTCAGAGCGTTAGATTCTGAGGCGAAAATTCTGCATTCGAACCCTGGCATTCCACAGTGACTGTAACTGTGGTCGCCCACGAACTGTTAGGACGAAATAACAAAAAGCTGGGGAATATAATGTTATGGAGTAGCAGAATATGGTAAAAAGCGGGAAACAAAAATCCTGACGGGTTCATGCTATTAAGCTGATATAAGCTCTGGCAGGATGGGTCTCCTGGCCCGTCATCTGATGAATCAAGTTGAGTGATGAAGCACCAAACATTGACCGATGACCAGACATTTCCAGCCATAGGAAAAAAAAAGCGATCTAGAAATATTAAGTATAGCTGAGACCGTTTATCGTTGGCAAGAAAATGTCTCGACCGAAACGGTGTCTTTTAGGCTGGACACGAAAGAAATCGTACCAGATTATATCAGAAACCTAATTCGTGTACTTAACTGCCGAAGTTTGCTGCAGGCGGTCTTTTTAAGTGAAAACGCGTTCTAAATCCACAGATATTTTGACAACGGGGATTATTTTCTCTATTCCCTTGAAACTCTTAGGGAGAAATGGCCACTGGACTGAATTACAAAACATCCTTAGCCTGAAGAAAACCCTCTGTTATCTACAAGGCATTAATGATATGTTCCGTATTTGTTGATTTATACTTTGCGTGACTTGTATTTTGTTGATCAGTTTTTTTTAAATAGCACAAATATCAAATCTAAAATCGCAATGTGGACCCGTTTCAAAACGTGATGCATCTCATGTTTACTTTTAAGACTGAAGTAATTACCTCATAGTGAGTCTAAAAAGAAAACAATAACTTATTGCTGTCGTGACACCCTGACCCTGAACTGTTGCTAATTAAGTCAAAATTTGTAATCTTCTGACTAATTTGCGTTAGATCGCGGGTTGAAATCTACCGGCGCTGACGTTTACAGATCAGGGAGACCTTTGGTTTTAGAGACGAAATTATTCGCTTGTGGACGTAGAATTTTGTTGGTAAGAACATTCCTTGTATTTAAGCACTGCTTAAATACACACATATTTGGATCTCAACTTTCGTGACGAAAGTTGAGATCCAAATATGTGTGTTATTTATGTGTTGTATTGCCTTTCCAGTAAGAAGGTACCGTTCTTGTGATTTTTGCAGACACAAATTGCAAAGACGGATAGCACAAAAAAGCAGAGGCCAAATTTAGCCTCTACAACCGAAAAAAATTATCGAATAACGCAAAATTTTACAGATTCACAGGAAGTACAAAGATGGCGGATGTTCTGCAAGCAGCGTTTCAATTTGCCAGCGATCATTGGATTACTCTTTTGGTCGGATTCTCGATCATATTATATTATTGGTAAGTATGTGAAACATAGGTATGAGCGCAAATGGTCGACTTATGAACCTAAGAGACGACAGTGGGGTTTTTATTATAACATGATTGGAAATTCGTGGATAAACTGATAGGTGGAGTACAATGGCTGTAAACATATGAAAATCATGTGTGTGCACTGCGGTTGAAGAAACGAATATAGAATCGATCTTCGCAGTTATGAACACTACTGAACTAGTAGTTGAAATAAGACCTGAAAAAAATTCAGGCGCGTACGGGATTTGAACCCATGACCTCTGCGATGTCGGTGCAACGTTCTACCAACTGAGCTAACAAGCCAACGGGGATTATATTGGATTCAAATAAACCTTCAAAGTGGTGAATAATGGCTATAAACATATGAAAATCATATGTGTGTACTGCGGTTGAAGAAACGAATATAGAATCGATCATCGCAGTTATGCCGGAACACTACTGAACTAGTAATGACCGGTTCCCAGTTGGCATGTTAGCTCAGTTGGTAGAGCGCTGCACCGGTATCGCAAAGTTCATAGGTTCAAATCCCGTACAAGCCTGAATTTTTTTTCAGGCCTTATTTCAAATGCTAGTTCAGTGGTTTTCATAACTGCAAAGATCGAGTCTATATAGTTGGAGTATTATTCAGGTTGCCATTCCATTTAAACCTTGATAGTATCAGTTCTTTGAGCTAATTTTAGAGACTCTGAAACTCTGAAATGAACATCTCATGAAACCCTAGATTCTGAAAACACCAATGAAGTTTGTCTTTCTGATTGTCTATTTTTAATTTCGCTCTATTGTTTCAACCTCATGGAACTTAGTTAGTATTAATTACATCTGATTGTCACGCAATGTTTCCCGCAAAACCTCCCATATGTCCTGTACCAACACACTCCCATCATCCCAAACCTATGTGAAAAGATATGTAACATGGTTTAATTTTTAACAAAACGTTTTAAATGGATTGGAGGCAACATCAAAACCACAGCTGTAATCGATGTTTTCTCGTTTTAATTTCTTCAAGGCATTGGGTTTCGTACTACACTGTGTTCACGAAACTTGGAATCACTGGGCCTACACCTCTTCCACTTTTGGGAAATACGAGACAAACGCTTCTTAATGTAAACCAGATTTTATTTCATTTCTATTTCTCTCTTGTGCATTTCAATAATGCTTTGCATATGGCGACTTCTAGAACCGTAATTCTTTCCATAGCATTCTGCTCGCATAAAGAAAGGAATCCTCTGATCGTGTAAAGATGAAGACCCGGCCTTCTCTAAGTTTCTCGAGTAACGATTTTTTTTATCTTCTTGCAGCCAAATTTTGCTCCAAAACTTCATGTAGAGTGGTGTGCAAAGTATGGCAGGGTGTTTGGGTTTGTACAACTTTCTTATTTTCTGAACAGTTATTTTGTTACCAATTTTGGTATTGCAGTCGATAACAATTTCCCAAATGATCCATTGGATACGTAGACAATATGTATGGCCAGTAGTTTTTTGTTCGCACAACCTCATATTAATAAAACTTCTCTCTAAGTAGCAATTCAAGTTATCGTAGCCCTTTACAACGTTAAAACATACTCATTGATGTACAGTGGAACATAGATGAGGTGCAACAATTCAACGTTAATGTTAAATGTTAAAACATAATCATCGATGTATAGTGGAACATAGATGAGGTACAACAATGTAACGAAAAAAAAGAGGGAAATAGTAATGATTCTACGGTGATAGAAAATGGCAGATGAAGTACTTTGAGAGCAGAAATTTCTTTTAAGATTTAGTTAGCAGTAAGACTAAATTTACTGAATATGAGATATGAGCCACAGCTGACCGTTAGTACGGAAGCAAAGTATTCTTCTACTGTAAACAACATAACGAGTAAATTTTTTTTTCTTTCAGATTGTATTTGTTCCGGACGCCTTTTCTAATGGTAGCTGATCCAGAAATGATCAAAGATATCCTCGTTAAAGAATTTCAAAAATTCCATGATCGAAAGGTTAAAATGATACATAGTTTTTTTCCTTTCCTTAATCATCTCTTCTCTTTGTATCGTTATGAAAGATTTAAATTTGTCTTCTTTCAATTTTAGCTCATCGTAAATTTTCCAAAGCCTTATGACAGGATGTTGACCTTAGTACCTGGTCAGAAGTGGAAAGATATCCGTACTACTCTGACTCCAACCTTCAGTGCTTCTAAGATGAAGCAGGTGCTTTAAGTCTTATTCGACTGGAATAATTGCATACTCTCTAGGAGTGGTTCAGGGCAAATATTCAGTTATCTTCACTCAAGCGGTGGTGTTATCAATTGGGTATCATCAGGATATTATGATGTATTACCAGATATTTTGAGTAAGATGGTTGCTCTGGGCAGGCGACTATGGTTCATATCTATAGCAGCTCATTTGAGAGGACAATTTTAAATCATTTACTTTTGTGGGAGTTGGGTTGGGTTGACAAAGGTTTTCCTTTTAAGCGTATATGCAGCTGTGTGTCGAGAGAGTCAGATGCATATGAGGACGATTAAATGAACCAGTTAAGTCTAATTACCTGGAGTGTAATCCAACTGAGGCTAAGTGCCCAAAATGACTACCATTGATTTCTAGTTAACTCCCCCTTAAAAGTCAGGCAAAATAAAATCACCTCTTCTTACCTTTATCCCCAACAAAACTGAAGTACTTCAGGTTATTGGAAGATTGAAGTTGCGTCATTTTTTTTTTTTTTTCAGATGATGACATTTATGAATGAATCCGTGGACACTTTCATTGATAAGGTGGACAAAATTTCAGAAACAGGCGAGATAGTAGATTTTCATAAGTGAGTTTATGCAAATAAATTGTAATTGTTATTTCCTTTGTTTTAGTGGTAAGATAAGAGGAGTGTCAGTTTACATTTTCATGCACCCCTAAGTATGTATTTAGCGTTTTTTTTTTCATGTCTCCTAGGTGGCTTCAGAGTCTTACCATGGAGGTCATCTTGTCAACAGCATTTGGAGTGAGAGCAGAAACACAAACTACAGAAAATGATCCAATCACTGAACGAGCAAAGAAAGTCATGACTCCTAAACCTATCGTTGGGTTAACATGTTAGTTTCGTATATTTTACCCCCCAGTTCAATGCTTGCCTCATGTTATTCATCATTTGGAATATTCCCGATTTCCTACCTCGAAGCTTTCTCCCCGTCAACCCCCAGGAGTACTTCCTAGAAAGAGGCTAGAGAGAAGTGCCGCTGGATGGCGTCTCATTTTCACAACTGGATTGAATAAAATAGGTTTACATTTTCAATAGTGTGACCAGCGTGGGGTCGAACATTTTCAAGATGTAGGGGCAAGATAATCCTGATAAAGAGAAATTAAGAAATGGGAAGATTCGGGGTTAAAAAAATTGTTACATTAACCCAAAAGTGAGTATAATGCGATCTATAATTGGCCACAGAATAGACTATAACCGCGCCCCCGCCTCCCACCCCACCCCCCATTTATTATAAAAGTTTCTTTAGAAACTTACCCCCCCCCCCCCCCCGTAGTAATAAAGTAGATCACTCACAAGATCTTTGAAGTTTAAGTTATTTGGGGTTATCAAAACCATTCCTTTTTCAGTGCTACTGCCGTTTGGAGACCGGTTACTAAACTATCTTAATGATCCCTTTGAGTTTGACCCAATCGGGTCCGTAGCAGCCAATATCATAGCTGAGAGGACAACGGAAAATAGTTACAGGAAAGCCAAGGTAAGTACGATATGCAAGACATTCTACAATCGGTACATATCTTAAACCTGAAGCTGTATTGAACTCGCTGTTCGTGCTGATCGTGAAATCTCAACTGTATTCATATTTCGTTCTGTATAACCTTCGACAGATATTCCAGTCGAGCAGATGGAAAACACTTGATTGGTCAGGTCAAAGAGGACTCATTCATTTCTAAATTCGTTTTCTCAGAGCCACCTCATTCCCTCCTTATTAATCAAGGATTATTGATTAAAGTTGTCGGTTCCTTACGTTTGATTTTATAACCGATCTTAGTCTTCAAACGATGACCCTAAAAAAATGACCTTATTTCAATTGAATTTCGATACGCGTCGATTTCACTCCTCCCTTACAGCCTTAAGACATGTTATAATATATTTTGAATTATTTCTTACAGCGAAGGGACTTACTCCAAATGATGCTGGACGCAAAAGAAGAAACCGGCGGACAAAAAATTGACAATGAAGATATTCAGGCCCAAAGTCTCGTTTTTCTAATCGCTGGATATGAAACTTCCAGTACCACCTTGGGGTTTGTTTTTTATCACCTCGCTATTGATACGCATGTGCAAGACAAACTGAGAGATGAGATTGACCGTATGTGGCCTGAGGACGAGGTATAAAAGGGCTATAAATTAGTCATGTGTTACCATACTTAAACTATTCTCAATTGATCTTGAAAGAAGGCAAACTTGCCTAGCGATAATGTTGTCGACAGAGAATATGATATGAATATGATATGATAAACAGTGAGCATGGACTGGATATTTAAAAAAGCCTGGATAATTATGCAGTTAACAAATTAAACAAATGATGCGTGCAATTAAATAAACGAATTCAGATTATCGGAAACTTCGAATATTTCCCTTTCTCATAAGCTAACTTAAAATGTTTATGACCTCCCATTAATCTCTTCAGGCGTCGCCGCCATACGATCTGCTTCATAGGATGGAATACCTTGACATGGTCATTAATGAAGCACTCAGAATGTATCCCCCAGGATTTGTGTAAGTGTACGAGGATTCCCTGATATCTTTTTATTTGTGGATATGCTAAGCATAACAACATGCTCGAGTAATGTAGAGGTTCGATTTGCAAATTTCTTGGCGTTTGCTCGGCCCTAGGAGTGTGGAGAGAGCATTTGGAATCATAGTATCATTGGCATAAAGTACAAACACAGCATATTTTGATTGCATTCTGCACAATATACAAAATTAGGATGTTATGTGTTAGCTATTACTTTTCTTGTGTATAATTTACGATTGCACCTCAGACTCCAGAGAGACTGCAACGAAACCTGCACTATCAAAGGTGTCAAAATTCCACAAGGAATGCCGATCATGGTTCCATGTTATGCTGTTCATCACGACCCAGAGATTTATCCAGATCCCGAAAAGTTTGATCCAGAGAGGTGAGATAGGTTATTCGTTTGCTGGCACAAATGAATTGAGTTACTGTTACCGAATTTCATTCGTATCTGATTACTGATATCTGAATGCAGTCTAGACTAGGAAACAGTTTTAACACCCCATTCCTTCAGGACCCTCCTCGAATAGTGTTTTGGTTTTCAACAGGTTCACAGAAGACGAAAAAGCAAAGCGTCATCCGTATGCATTCATGCCGTTTGGTCACGGCCCCCGCAACTGTGTCGGCATGCGATTTGCTTTGCTGGAAATTAAGCTGACCCTGGTGAGATTACTGAGGAAGTATAAGCTGGAACGGACGGAGAAAACAGCGGTAGGTCAGCTGATTACTGCAATAATTGATTATTAACGATTTCATAGAAAATTTGTTTGCTAAATCCAATCGTTTTTGTCAGTCATTGTCGACCAAGTTGTGTGTCGTCCAAGTTTCAACATAAACGTTTAGTGTCTCTGAGCGAATTATGAAATGTGATTGCAGCTTTCTGAGGCCAAATCTGTACTTTCTCGCAAAAACGTTCTTGAGGAATTTCCATGTAACTCGTTGCAGGACCTTATAACTTTGTTTTGACCGCACTCTCCACCATCATTGTTCATGATCACTGTTGTGTATCTTGTAGGTTCCATTGGATTACGTTGTTACCTCTACAATGTCCTGCCCGCAAGGACAAGTAATGCTGAAAGTTTCACCCAGAGATTAGAAAACTAAGTGGTGCCTGGACATCAACCTCAATTACTTTTACACTGCTTGACAAGTTTATGTCAGGCTTGGATAGTTTAGACTGAGCTGGCTTTAATCTGTCTTTTTAATTAAAGTACTTCTTTTGTCAACGTTTTCATGGAAAAAATGTAAAGAAAAAGTTCTTATGAATTTGTCTTGTTTTGTCTGTTTGTTTTAATTTCTGTCGAGATATCAGGTAACGTTCTCAAATTTTGTACTCATGTTATAGATATGGATCACAGCTCACTGAGCCGTGTAGAGCATGATATGTTTTTATATACGACTCTTCCAAAACGGAATCCATGAAAAACCGAGTCTACGAGCGAGACAGCGATATGGTATTAAAGCCGTGTAAGTAAAAAACAGCATCAGGCTCGGAATATTTCAGTAAGGAAGGCTCATAATCGTCTCCATCCTGCAGCATTCACGAACAGAAACTATCATTGCAATTGTCTTACTAATGCGGTCAATACTCTTACGGTCACCGCAGTGGTTAGAATGGTCCTGAACGGCTTCATTGCTCGAGCTCCGAGTATGAGTACCAAATTATCGCTCAGCATCTGTGTGAGCAAAAAAATTTAAGATTGGTCCTACAATGATTTAGTAAGTGTATTCTATGAAATTAAATAAAGCAATGACCAACCACCTAATCTGTCGACAGTTTGATTAGGAAAACAAAGACGCATAACAGCCATGAAAGAATTACTTTTGTTTTTAGGATTATTTTTAACCGAATGGGTAACTTCTTTCAACAAAAATTATCTCCTTTAAAGCATTCAGTCATTTTTCCATTTAAGTTGTTTAGCGTATCTACAGTTTTCTAGAAAACCTCCAGGAATCACAAAGGTTAACTGCTAAGGTTTCTGCTTTGATAGAATTAATGTTCACCAACCGTATTCTTGTATGAGAGACATTGTAGGCCGTAGGTCTAATGTCAGAAAGTTACTTTAGAAGGTCACGGAAAGTCAAGTTTACAAAGGGGGAACGATCAACCGCTGTGAACCTCTTGATAAAATTTCGACTCGCTGGCTTAAGGACATCCGCTTTCATTTGTGCACATTGCATCATTCAGGTGAGTGGAAATCATTGCATGATATTTCACGCACTGCGGTTTTGACGTCAGAGCAAACTGAGAACCTGTTACTCTCTAGATACTTTGGAAGAATAAACTCGCTTATCCCTTTTCGTTCACAACGCATCTCATGAAAAGCATACGCCTTAAAATATGAGCAGAGCCACCCGGGCATTTCTCCTAGATACTAAAAATAAATAGCAATTCTGGCTCGTCTACCGTGACATCGATATCTGAAACCTCTATCATTACAAAATTTACATACCGTTGAAAACTTCTATTTATGGTCCTGCCATGCACGAACGTGTATAATACTCACTATCTTAGAGTTGATCACAAGCCTGTAAACGCACTTCAGCCAGTTTGTGTAGCAGACAACATCAATTCAATGAAGTAAGAGTTGATGTACTTTGAGTGTTAAGTCTTCCAACCATAAAACGTATCAAATGTGTTTTAATTTATTGTTAAATTGGGAGCTGTAAGGATGTGTTCCAGATCTCCCTGGGCTTCGATTGCACGTAATCTTGCGTTTGGGAGAAAAGGAGTTCCAAAGAGCAACAACTGAAAATAAGATTAACGAATCTCTTCTACTCCAGACGAGTATAGCCACCTCTACCAACAAGGCAACGCTGTTCTGCAGCTGCACACAAGTGCATTCAAGATGGCTGAAATAATTCAGTTCGCGAGCGACTACTGGGTTACACTTTTGGCTGGTTTCCTGATTCTTCTGTTTTACCGGTAGGTGAGAGACGATGCATTGCTAAACTGGTTAATGTCCACCGATAACACATCATGGATTCAATTGTATCAGAACTTGGTATTTTGGAATTGCTATGAATTTCTACGGATTATTTTCATGGGTCACGCAACCGTGACACCTTGTTCTTCCAATAAATAGGTAAATGTACCAACGAACTTATCTGCGACCGCTTAATTAACTCTTCTCTATCAATAGATACTGTGTTGCACCATTCACCTTATTCAGGAGGCTTGGAATCAGAGGGCCCACACCGCTTCCACTTTTGGGAAATTCAGGAAGAGTCCTTTTGGATGTAAGTCGCTGATTAATTATCATTTGTTTATTTAGGATGGGACGAGTCGGAGCATATTTATTGATTACGACCAAACTGGACAGTTTTAATTTCATGACATAGATATTGTTGAAATCAAATAAAACCTCTAGCATGTTGGTTTCTTTTCACAGCAAAATATTGCTCCGAAGCTTCATCGAGAGTGGTGTAGGAAGTATGGCAGGGTGTTTGGGTAAGTAAATCAGGAGCCAATTTCATTGTTCGAGTCCAACATGATGACATACCTTTTGGAATGGTGATACGCTAAATCCATGCAACATAGAACTTTGGGTGTTTAAAGACATTATTTGCGTACGGATTGTTTCGGGTGATGTGAAGTCATATGTATTCTTGGTTTTGTCAGGATGTACTTTTTTCGTCAGCCTTTTCTGATGGTGGCTGATCCGGAAATGATCAGAGATGTCTTTGTCAAGGAGTTTCCCAAATTTCACGATAGAAAGGTAGTGTTATCGTAGAGTAGATTAATAACCAGTGCATGGTACGTCCCAAGAACCAAACACAAAATCATCAGGGCTTCCCCACAGCAGACTGTGCTCCAAACACGATACTCTGTTCTTTCCTTCTATTCCTTCCTCCTAACCTCTCCCCCTCTCCCATTCAAAGTGACTCCGTGTGTGCTCTTGCATTGCTAAGCAACACTATTTTACTGAAGTGCATTTGCTGCCAGGCAAAGACTAGTGTTCACGACTCTTGGACGTTCTAAATGCAGTTAGATCAAGCAACAGCAATCAAGTGTCAAGAATTTGATGTCACATTCACTTTGAAAGGATGTCGTCTGTTTTATCATCAGAACTCCTTAAAATTACGAAAACCCTATGACAAAATGTTGGCAATAGTTACTGGTAAAAAATGGAAGGATATTCGAAGTACTCTGTCACCAGCATTCAGTGCCTCTAAAATGAAACAGGTACGTAGATTTCGTATTCAAAATTAAATAACCTCTGTGCACTAGAATGATGATTAACGAAGGTTTTTATGGAAAGGAAACGTTGGAACGACATTCAGTATGAAGCACATCTCAGTGGTAGAGGCTGTAATTTTTAGGACATAACTAATTGAATGAAATAACGAAGCATTTTGCATAACCATAACCGTTCATATAGTTAAATGTTTTTAAATTTATGTTTTTATGGCAAAATGGCCAGATTTAATTATAAAGCTTACAATAGTAGTAAATTGATTTTAAAGAACCCTTTTGAACTTATTGAAGAAATAAAGTAAATCGTTGAACTAAAAGTTTGACCATATTGTAAATCACATTTGTCACTAAAAAATAATAACCATGCATCAAGTTTAACATTAGAGAGATGTTTACTATCGATTGTAGAATGCTTATATTACACATTTTTTTTCAGATGATGGTGCTGATGAATGAAGCAGTGGGAACACTTATGAAAAAAGTGGACTATATTTCAAGAACAAAAGAGATTGTTGACTTCAACAGGTGATCTTGTTTTTATGCGAATGTCTTTCCTGATTTACTCGTGTATTAGGGCTCTGAAATACAATGTAAGCGAATATAATTTTATCTCAATAATGTATTAGCGTTCAGCATTAACTGTTCAGTTGAAGCTGCCCTCGTCATTCTTCTTTTCCTTTTTCCCGTTCTAAATAGAGCACAGCGTCTGCTGAGGTCACCTCTAAAGTAAGGGTGATTAAACCTGAATATATTTTATCCCATAGTTGGCTCCAGAGTCTTACCATGGAAATAATTCTGTCGACAGCGTTTGGAGTCAAAGCAGAAACACAGACTGATGAAAATGATCCAATCACTCAAATGGCAAGAAAAGCAACAACACCACATCCCATCATTGGCGTTCTGTGTAAGATCTGACTTCCCTTCAACCTCTTAGCCTTGAGGAAAGCATTTAATACGTTGAAAAAAATGCTCTCTAGCGTAAACGCAACGTAACATAAGGTCCGGAAACTGTATCTCTGACTTAGAGAAGGTTGATATACTGAAGCGTTCCTGAAACCATTCCCCGTGCTAATGTATTCTGATATTAAGCGTATTTTGAAACCATTCGCTCTGTTATTTAGTTCTTCTGCCTTTTGGAGACTGGTTATCCAAGTACGTTCCAGACCCATTTAATTTTGAGAAGATGTGGTCTCTTGCTGAAAACATTCTTGCTGAAAGGACGAAAGTAAACGGAACAAGCAAACCACAGGTGAGTAACAAACTATGAAGCGCAATCCTTTACACCTCAGCATTAGTTTACGTATTCTCCATACTGTCCATACTGTCTATACTGTCTCCATACTGTTTACATATTCTCCATACTGTTCATACTGTCTATACTGTCTCCATACTGTTTACATATTCTCCATACTGTCCATACTGTCTATACTGTCTCCATACTGTTTACATATTCTCCATACTGTCCATACTGTCTCCATACTGTTTACATATTCTCCATACTGTTCATACCGTCTATACTGTCTCCATACTGTTTACATATTCTCCATACTGTCTATACTGTCTCCATACTGTTTACATATTCTCCATACTGTCCTCTTCGCAATTTCTATTGTATTATCAAGGAGAATTGTGAGAGCCTCTAAATTGGTAATGGTTTCCTTTATTCTCATGGCCTTTATATTTGATTCAAGGGTGACACTGTAGGGAGGAATTATAAGCCAGTCACTATTTGGGTTTAAAGGGTTAATTTAAGATGAAGAGTTAGACTTGAGCATACAGCCCCACGCGAATAACAAGTTCTTTTGATGCAGAAGCTGTAGTTACGGCTTACCAAAATAGCTTTCTTTCAGCGAGGGGACATGTTGCAACTTATGCTGGATGCGAAAGACGAAACAGGGGGAGAAAAGATTGACTATGAAGACATCATTGCCCAGACTTTGGTTTTCCTTATCGCTGGTTATGAAACAACAAGTACCACTCTGGGCTTTGTTTGTTATCATCTTGCTGTTGACACGCATGTGCAAGACAAACTGAGGAATGAAATTGACCGTCTATGGCCCGTAGACGAGGTATGAAGCCGTTTTAGCGCATAACGTAATAGAGCTCTGCCAAGGGCATAAAACGGTTTTCATTACGATAGAAACAAACAGATCCCTTGGCTAAAAGATAGTCGAGCTTTTTAGTTTACTATTCTCCCCTCTTGATCTTTGTGTCCTAACATAAGAAGGCTTCAAATGCAATTTGCAATTTTGATATCCCCGTTTAACATTCTCTTTTTTTTCAGGCGTCACCGTCTTATGATGTCCTTCATGAGATGGAATATCTCGACATGGTTATTAACGAAGCACTCAGGATGTATCCCCCGGGCTTTATGTGCGTATAGGAAGTATAAAAACAATCTCTACTACCCCGCTTAGTAGACAGCTTCTCAATGTTCGACCATTGGCGCGAATTAAAAAATTATCCAGTCTCGTAATGATGAGATTTAATTTATTATAGACAAAGGAAAGTCATGCGACACGAAATTAAATTAATGTCAGGTTGATGTATGTAGATCAAGACAAAATGATTGCTTGAAAAAATGTTCTTTGTTGAAAGAAATTGCGATGTCTAAATATTCCAGGGATTTCTGACTCCTAGTCAACTTTAACGTACGTTGGATTAAGACCCTTATCACCGATACTACTGGCACAAGCCTTACTCCCATTAGCTATCTGCAGACTCGCGGTCGGTTCATTAGTTCTACAGTTGTTTCGAGAAAGGTTGTCGGAAAAAAGCTATTACAACACGCGACGACCCGAACGGTATCGTGAGTAGTTTTCAGGTTATCACGGTTTCTTGAGTTTAGGATTTCAGAGAAATCTTAGAAAAAGTCACTGTAAGGACGATACATTATGTTTTTGACGAATTTATTTAAATTCATTGATAGCGGACACCCGAATAACCTTTCAAGGTTATCGCGCCTTCTGCTGAAAAGGCGCCCTTTTGTCTGTGTTGTGGTTTTGGTTTCTTCCGTTTTCCAGCGAACGGAGGTGCAAGAAAAGTGCGAGGAAAGTGCCGGGAAAGTGTGGGAAAAGTAGGAGAATATTGAGTTCAAAGTGTGATAAAAGCGCGGTAAACGTGCGGGGAAAGTGCAGGAAATATGCTAACATAGTACCCAAAAAGTGCATGAAGAGTATGATTAAAGCGCGATTAAAGTGCGTAAAGCGCGTGGAATGTTCGAGAAAAGTGAGAGGAAAGTGCAGAGAAAATTGGACAAATAGTATTCAGAATAGAATAGAATATAAAATAACGTAACAACAGATGTCAACCTCATACCTCGAGCGTAACAGAAAACTGGTACGAGAATAGGGTTACTGGTCGTTTCGCAACCAAAGTCGTTTCGTACCCAGCTAAGACTATTCATGTCCAGTCGGTTGACTCGTTACGTACCCATACAAGAGCCCATTACTCCTGACCCACACTAATAAAGTATGTTTTCCATGTTAAGTATGTTTAAAGAAAGGTCGGTTTCTTATATTAAATGACAATACTACCTGCGTGAAATAAGTTGTCACGTGGCGTCCATTTCTGATAAGCGACGGAAAAGAAGCGTAAAAGTGCCGTAATGCCGTGAGATTGCGTGCACTTTTGTCCTTTTTTCCGACAACCTTCTCGAAATAGCTGTATTTTGTGTTTACATCTACTAGGTTTTGTCTAAATTTACTTGATTTCCGTCCCAGGACACAAAGAGATTGTAATGAAACCTGCACCATCAAAGGGATTAAAATTCCGAAAGGACTGCCCGTCATGATACCAATTTATGCCATCCATCATGACCCAGAGTTTTGGCCGGAGCCAGAGAGGTTTGATCCGGAGAGGTGCGAAAATGACGTCGGCATTTCTAAATATTCTTGTTTAGTGTTTTCTTCAGGGCTCAGAGTTATCGGAATGAAGAATCCCCGAATATTATTTCATCATATTCTTCCGCCTTATCCCAGCCCTCATGAACAATTGGGAGTCTTTCACCTATTGCCATGATGGTCATTTTGATCTCTTTGATCTTTTTAAAGAGATCGGCTTTTGTAAGTTTTGCCTACGCTGTTGACGCAAAGGTTTTCAGATAATTCCCTCTTTTCGGAAAAAGCTCGTCTTAATTCCTGTTGACTCATTAATGTTGATAGGTTTACAGAGGCGGAGAAAGCAAAACGTTCTCCTTATGCGTTCCTGCCTTTTGGTTATGGTCCCCGAAATTGCATTGGCATGCGATTTGCTTTGCTAGAAATTAAGCTGACGTTGGTGCGATTACTGAAGAAGTACAATCTAGAGAGCACCGAGAAAACAGCGGTAAGTTTGACTACAATTTAGTTAGAATTTAAATCCTTACAGCAACAGCTCTCGTTTGCTTTGTACCTTGTCAACAGAAAGAGCAATCTCGGCCAAAACCCATTGACTACTCACGTTGGAAAACACTTTTAAAGTTAAAATTCGTGTTGATGCAGATCTGCGGATCGAATCTGCGGATGGTTTAAGTCTACCGATTGAATTATGATACATATAAAAAGTTAGACGCAAAGATATGTAATTTTGTACGCTTACCATTTTAAGCCGTTACTTTTGAAATATTCATATCATTTCTATGCAAGTAGGATCTCTGTTTGTTTCCTCTTTTGCAGGTTCCCCTGAATTTTGCAGTAGCTCTCTCCCTTTCGTGTCCTCCGGGGAAAATCATGCTACGAGTTTCCAAGAGGGAGTAAAGCAAGGTTTTGATCGCTGCCTGCACAATATTAGCAAGTACAATGTAATTGAGTCACTCAGTCAGGCAACTTAAATATTTCAAAAGAAAACTGTTTTTAGAAGGAGGAAAAACCAATTTTTTCCATCACTGCAGATTGATGTGGAGGCGTTCGTAGTAATATTCCATGTATAACTTATGGTGAGAAATTCACTGCTGCCAGCTACAATATTTAACAAATTATTCACCAAAGTAGAGGTAAATATACACCACATTCACCAACATTGAGGTGAATGATCGTTTCAGTATACACCACACAGATACCAAAAAGTGATTTGATTCTCCCAATATACCGAAAAATGATCAGAAATTTAACTCTTGACGCGTGGTTTTGTTCGGAGGAGAATTGAACGTTGCTATTCATTTCTGAACTAGCCGATCAGCGCACGTGAAAAGCACTATTTACTTGTGTGGTAAATACTAATACATCATGTATTATATTCTCTCAGATCTTTGAAGGGCAAGACATGATAATAAATATATGTATACTGATAGAGAAAAGAAAATGGTGAACTATGGCAAAATCACTCACGATGAAAACCGATCATGTTTCGGCGGATTTCCTCGGTATTTAAAGTGTCAAAATACGCTTGTGCAGAGAAATTGTGTACATAAAATCTTTGTAGACCAAAAGGAACTGTAGAAATGTTCAATTTAATGTTAGGGGCACTATTCAAGGACGAGTTGCTTTTAAGTTGATTTGAGCTCGGAGGCTGGTAATAAATGTTATTCACTACCGTAGACGGCTATGTATATGACCACAATACTTTGCGATAACTGTGCTTTGATTAAACGCTTTTTTAATAGGATACAGTCTTCGCAACTACAATTTTGAATTAGATACCCGTCTCTTTTATTAGGATCCGCGATAAATTGAGCGAGGTTAAGATTCCAAAAAACTAATTTTGATTTTAGAATCATCACTTCTCGCTTCTCATGCGTTTCTTTTTTATCAGTTACAAATTTTCAATTTGTTGGATTTTTTTTTCTTCCCTCTATTGACCATCCACCACCCTTTGACTTGATCACATGATCAGGCATGCCAAGGCATTCAGGGCTATGCGAGATATTTGCATGCAACACCTCGCTGCCCTGCGTTTATGTTATGCAATACAACAAGAAGAAAAAGGGAAGATTCTCAATCTAGTCATCTTCCTCCGAAATTTAACGAAACGTGATCGCCTTTAATCCCAGAACAAGAAGAGATGACCGACCTTCTACAAACAATGATTCAGTTTACAAGTGACCACTGGGTTACACTATTGATTGGATTTCTGATTTTCCTGTCTTATCGGTATGTAACACGTCTTCATTGCCTTCATTACGTTAGACTCATTAGACACTCAGTCAAGTTGCATATTATTCGCTGATCCAATATTTTTCTTTCGGATATTGGGACTTGTAAATAAGATTTTGGCAAAATCGAAGGTTCAGACTCCAATTATTTAAATGCACGCAACGTAATTTCTCACTTTGAAACCAGTCGAATTAAGACCAATGAACACCGGTCTCCAAGTTAGAGTTCTGACGTGAACGCAAAGGACCTTTGAAAATTTATTCACTGTGTTGTGAGCGAGACATTATGGATATCAGAGTATAAACCCTTGCCACTAAAATGCGCGTGGAATAAAATCTTATACGCCTCGTGTTTGCGGCCACGTTTGGATTAACGCGGCTATGCAAATTATCCGAGGGCAAAGGGTGCCTCCGAGTTCGTGACAAGAGCGGAAGTCACGCACGCACTATTTTCAAAATAAGGTAGGTCCCCGTTCAACAACGTCAGAAATCTGACAACTTAATTTTAAAAGGAAAAGAGCGCTCTGAGTTCATTTTCACGAGATGATATTCTACTTTGTAGTTTCCGATTTAAAATGAAATTACACTACAAATTTTTAACCATTGAGCTCTTCGCCACAATTGGGACAGCTGATGGTTCTAGGTGATTACTCGGGAATATCTTATTTTGTTAAGGTTCTGCGTTGTACCTTTCACTGTGTTCAAGAAACTTGGAATCAAAGGACCTACACCTCTTCCATTTTTTGGGAACTCCATACAGAACCAATTTAATGTAAGTTGGTTGAATCCCAATTTTTTTGTTTACCGTAGTAATGAATCGAGCAAAGAAAGACATAGAGGCCAGTCGAGAAAATTCCAAAAGAGGGAGGCGAAAGGATATCGCGCAAAAAATTAACTCTTAATCAAGCAAAGCATTACTAGACATTCTCCTCAAAATGATGATTGATAATAGGAAATGAAAGTATCTGCTTTAAAGAAAAAGCTGGATGGCGCAATTGCAGTTTCATGTCCTGAACACAACGAGGGCGGGTGAAAAATTATTGCGATCAAAAATCACAATCAAATAAAGCATTACAATTCTCTTCCTCCTGTATACTGATCGGTACTAGAAAGTACCTGGTTCCAAGTAATACCTTCTTTGGCCGATACCCAATCCGATATAGGTGAGGTTTGAATTTTATAACATTCCCATTCATTTTTAAAAGTGTAAACTTTTCTTTTTGCAGCCAAGCATTGTCCCGCAATGTCAGATATCATGGTGTAAAAGATATGGAAGGGTGTTTGGGTATGTATACTTGAGCGTCCATTCAAAATCACACCACAGTTATGATAATCAAACAGAACGTCATGGCCATAGCTTCTGTCATTTACACGAGAAAACGCGACATATATCAGTCGAGAAAAGGCTATCGTGACTTTTTGAGTGGCTTTCTATTTAAAGAAAAGCATGCTAAAAGTTGTACAATCATTCTAAAACATTAAGTTTTTTTGTAAGTTAGCTAATATTTACACTTTTACAATTTACAATTTACAATTACTCAGTTCTGATTGGTTAAGATAACTGCAGTTTTCAGGGGAGTCAATGCAGAAGAGGGTTAATTCGGTGCAAAGAAGTAACAAACCAGACTGAACAACTCCTTGAACTGTTAACCGGACTTTGAACTTTTTTGCGCCTTAAAGCTGTGAAAATATCATCGTATATTATTGTTTTGATCGTACGCGGTTGTTTTGACCGAACGCACAATGTCACTTGCAGGGTTTGAATAAATTATTTCTGCACTTGATGCGCGCGCTTTGCTTCTGTATAGTTATGATAAGCTATCTCGTATTTTTTCATGTATATTATTAATACGTAAGAACATGATTTTTCTCTTGCAATTTGGAATGAATAAGCACTTGTAAATTTTTTCAAAGACCACAAATTGCACGAGTCCGTAGGGCTCGTGCAATTTTGTTAGTCTTTGAAAAAAATTACTCGTGCTCATTTATTCCAGATTGTACTCGAAATCATGTGATTACCCATACTTACAGTTCACTTTTTTTTTTTACTTTTTTAGCATATATATATTTCGTCAGCCTTTTCTGGTGGTGGCCGATCCAGATATGGTAAAAGACATCCTCGTGAAAGAATTCACCAAATTTCATGATCGGAAGGTAGATCTAAAAAAAATTGTAAAAGCCTTTGTTCTTCACGAACCATGAATCAACAATTCTATAATGCTATTAGACTAATAAAGGAGGGGCCTCACCCAAATAATAAAACAAGGTCATATGTAAGTAACTCTTAGCCTCGGCCCTGTCTCGACAGGAATGATAAATGATCATGGGTGAGAAAGTCAAATTTCTCGTACAAACCTGTTGGGATCGTTTCTAACGTAGCACAGAATTTTTTATGATACTTTGTCACAGTTACTTTTTTCAATGCACCATTTATCAGAAACGTTACTCGACAATTTCTCATCGGTACAACTTAGGTGCAAAATTATTATGACTTCAACATGAAAAATCATCAACATGTATATACATGCACGATATATGTCACAAAACCAATACGAACAGACTGATTTTAATTCTAACCTTATGAGTCAGTCTTATTCAGTTTTTAAAATTATAATTTCAGAAATTGGTAAACTTTCGAAAACCTTATGACAGAATGTTACAAGTTGCCAGTGGTCAGAAGTGGAAGGATATACGATCCACGCTGTCCCCGACCTTCAGTGCAGCTAAAATGAAGCAGGCAAGTTAATTTTGAATTTTAAGAAAACTACGTAGATGCATTTGCATCTATATGGATAAAACTGTAACCGCGTAACACTCACTCGTTCCTAATTTCTGAAACCTTTCTTTCAGATGATGCCCTTTATGAACGAAGCAGTGAACACTTTTATGCAGAAAGTGGACAGAATTTCTAAGACAGGAGAAATCGTTGATTTCCATAGGTCAGAACTACAGAGTCACATGACATAGGTGGCAAAAAAGAATTTGAATTGAACACATATTTCACAGTTAAAAATTTCCAACATTTTCAGAAGTCTGAACTCAGAGGCTACCTAAATTGAATTTTTAAGCTACCTTTACGCCTTTGAGCAGAGATCACGTAACGTTTATGTAAAACGTCTGATTAGAATGGCGTTAGCTAAAAAAATGCACAACAAAGAGTTTTCTATCGAGTCAGCACAACTTGCTCCCAATGTCAAAAATCTTCAAATGGGTTAATCATCCTCTGTATAGGTACAAAATAGTTATCTGTAAATAATTTAAAATCTATGCTTTGTTCTAATTTTTAAGGTGGTTTCAGAGTCTCACCATGGAGATAATATTTTCGACAGCATTTGGACTCAAAGTTGAGACACAAACTGTTGAAAATGATCCAGTCACCGAGCTTGCAAAGAAAGCCATGGCTCCACACCCTTTGCTCGGATTAGTGTGTGAGGATTTTATTTACTTCAGTTGCCTCTTTTGTGAACATGTCAACGTTCTTCTAATAAAATATAGCATTATATTGACGGAAGAAATTTGCTTGTTAGGGTTGACATAGTTACTTATCAAAAAACATAAATCAACCATGAGACATATTTGTACGTACGTGGTCATTCTTAACACTCTAATACTCTAACACTTCTATATTATCTTTTCAGTCCTCCTGCCATTCGGAGAATACATTATAAATAATTTACCGGACCCTTTTGATTGTGAGAAGATTTTGTCGTTATCAGCTGATATTATCGCTCAAAGGAGAGATGCAAAGGGCGAGAAAAGCGTGGCTGTAAGTAAAGGAGTCAGATAGTTTTAAATTGGTGGCATAAAAGTGTTAGCAAGTCAGTCACAAAGCTTGGATAACTATCACAACTGGCAAACAAGCCTTTACATGAATGTGAACAAACTATCGTTTTCTCGGGTATTTATTCATAATCTGTTTGTCTGTATCGTGGAATTAGACCGGGGAGAATTTGAAGGAAACCGTCTACAGAGCTTTTCCCTTTTCATTCCAAAAAAAGCAGAACAAGTGCGCGTACTATGTTTATAAGAAAACCATTCTTATTTCTGTTTTAATGAGAAATCGTGAACATGAAATGTAATTATGTACCACATTTCAGCAGATCCGTGTATTTCTGTGAGTTCGGGACAAAACAAATAAGAAACATTACCTTTGCACGATATTGCTTGGAGTCATTCTGATGAAAAGTTCATTTGATTCTTTTTAGAGAAAAGATCTTCTTCAATTGATGTTAGATGCAAAAGGCGAAACTGGCGGAGGAAAGATTGATTACGTTGATATTGAAGCACAGTGTCTTACTTTCCTTCTCGCTGGTTCCGATACTTCCAGTACTACTCTGGGTTTTGTTTGCTATGAACTCGCCCTTCACACAAATGTGCAAGACAAGCTGAGAGACGAAATCGACTGTATGTGGGCCAGAGATGAGGTTGGTAAATATCATTGGAACATCAATATGACAGACTTATTCAATAACTCTTCAAACACTTCGAAATTCACACTGAATGCCTAAAGTAACTTCTCGTTGGACATGTCAACCACGAATATCTGCAATGGACCAGGTTCTTGTACGCAACAAAACTTAATCCTAACATTTGGCCATCCCATTTGTTTTTTGTCTTCTCAATGCTGAATGTTTGTTGGCCTATTTCAAAAAAGAATTTACAAAAAGATTTAAAACTCACTGTCTTTGAATGACGATATTTCAGACCTGCTAGACCTAAACGTTTGACGAAAACCTCTCCCTTTTCATCATGGATAAAGTAGTTTTTCCCTTGAATGGAATACAACCACAAAATGCACAAAGGAGACTTGTGCCATATCCCATAATAATTTCAGACACGCAGAACATCGTCATCGGGGTTGACGATATTTTAATCAGTAAACCAAAAGCACGTTAGCGCGCCATCCGAGAATAGTTCACTAATTTTGAATTTCTAAATGCAGGAGTCACCATCATATGACACCATTCATAAGATGGAATATCTTGATATGGTTATTAACGAAACAATTAGAATGCATCCTCCAGGATTTGCGTAAGTAATTAAAATAGATGGTAAGAAATGCTAGTAGGAGTCTGGACATCGTATTGCAAAAGGGTTAGGTTTTTGGGCCTAGTATACAGCAGGATTGTCACATGCACGTGGTCAAACCTTTACAACAGCGTGAGCAAGCCCAGAGGGTCATGTATATACAACATGCATGGAGAGATGGTGATAGGAAGGAAAATCACAAATCACGAACTCAAAGGTGCACGAGATAATAATGAGAAAGCCGTAGTAGTAAGCTATATGCCTTACTCTGGCTGCGTTCGAGAATTCGACATTTTCATAATGCGTCCACATGGCACTCAAAACCAACTGATTCGAACATCTGGCGTTGGGACATTAAATAAAGAATTAACATTTAGCCTCATCCCCGCCACCGCATACTTGAAAGAAGGCTTTGATTAGGATGTTTAATAATACAGAATTACTTTTTCATTTTATTTCACATTGCCTTAGACTTCACAGAGACTGCAACGAGGCTTGCACTACAAAAGGACAAGTCATTCCTAAAGGATTGCCAGTTATGATTCCATGTTATGCAATCCATCATGATCCGGAGATATGGCCGGAACCCGAAACATTCAACCCAGAAAGGTAAGCCTTTCGTAAGATGATTCGTGCATGAACTGACCGGTAGGCTAGATGACTTGTACACGAAACTGGCCTGTGAACGAGTTGACTTCTGGGCGAGACGACCTTTTGGTGAAATGACTTGTAGGTGACACTGACCTGTCACTGGCAGGTCAGTTTCGCCAACAAGTACCGAACAAGTACCCTATCGGTTACCCCTCTTTGCGCAAGCCCAAACCTACTCTCAAACCGTAATCCAATTTGCTAATAATAATAATAATAATAATAATAATAATAATAATGCTTTATTCTTGTCAGGTTCACAGAGGCGGAGAAAGCAAAGCGTCACCCCTATGCATTTCTACCCTTTGGGTTTGGTCCTCATAACTGTGTTGGAATGCGATTTGCTTTGCTGGAAATAAAACTGACCCTTGTTAGATTACTGAAGAAGTACAAGCTAGAGCGTACCGAGAAAACAGCTGTGAGTGAAAATCTTCTTTTCCTTTTTTCAGTTGTCTTCATCTGAGGGTCTTCTGATGCATTTCTTCGAGTATTGTCAGAATGATCAGCTTTCTACCAATATACTTTCATCCATCATTTCACCACTGTGTTTTGCTTGGATTTAACCTGTATCCACGTGTTTATATGCACGAAAAAAGCTTAAACTCTACCTTTTTGAGCGTTTTGTCTAGGAGCAGCGCAAATGTGCTCGACTAAAAACAAGAATCAAATGTTTTGGAAACAGGGTGAACTGATAGTGATCGACGAAATAGAGCTGAAACGTAACACAACGTCTATGAAATATTAATTACTTGATTGGTTTCTATTGTGAACTGGGCATCAACTGATACTGTAGCTGAACAATGTTCACTGATATATTTTAGCAAAAAGAGATGCGTGAATCAAAATCGATTCAGCTCTTCAATCTCCTATGAGTTGTACATCTTTGTACTTGTCAACGAAATTTCCAATGACTTTGATTTTGCAGGTTCCAATAAAGTTTGAAGTCATGTTTACTCTGATCTGCGCTCCTGACACAATCATGTTGAAGGTTTCACCAAGGGATTAAACACAATTATATTATTGTCTTCTTCAACTTTGTAAAACGGTGAAAACGTTGTCTGGCTTTTAGATATGAGTCATTTACCTGTGTAACAACCAATCTAAAGTATTATAAGAAGTTGCTAGTAGTGTACTATTAGTGAACTTTATGAAAAACATTTATTACAAATGAGACAAGTACATATTAAATCTACCCTATGCCCCCAAGGAAAAAAGGTGTATACTAAAACAATGTACTAAGATCACAAATAAATCTAGTTGAACTCCACATTAAATGTGTTTAAATACTACGACAGCTATTTGAAAAAATATATATATTGTTATGGTTGATCCCCTTTCAATAATACTCTAGTAAAAGTACCCATAGCTCGGATGTCTATCCAGTTGACCAAAGATGATCAGATAAAGTGTATACCGTCATAGAGTGGCGTATTCTGATTGCGATCACTTCTCTTCATCGATTAACTTGTACTTAAATAAAAGCTCTTAGAATCCTCATCTGCCATTGAGTCTGTCAGGTCTCTTTCTTATCAATGGTTGGAAAATTGGCTCTAGCTACTAATCACATTTTATTCGCGATGAAATGAGCTTGCTTCATGTTTCAGGTGGTCTGTCTTAGACCATGTTACAAAACGTTTGCTTGATATCATGAATAATTTAATAATACTACTAACTGAATAAAGATGTCAAAGCTAACGCTATCAATTGGTGCGGGGTGCAGTTGCGTTCAGATATGAGAAAAGACTTAGTACATCTTTTCTTACATCATACATCTACCACAAAGCTAGAAAGAAAACAGTGAGTGGAATATTGTTAACGAGTCAGTTAACCGGGTCAGGTGCGTCAGTTGTGACGAAAGATCGTGACATTGTTACCTTGTGTTACATCAGCTTTACTACCAATTGAGGAATTTGCATATACACTTATCATATGCAAACTATGTTGTCAATGTTGCATTTTGCCAAGTTAGTTGCAGGTTAAAGTGAGACCCTTGATACCAGAATCACCTGAGGGATGTTGCCTACCACTAAACATCTTTGGTAAAAAGTTATATTGGCACTGCCGTCGCTTTTTCTACCAGAAGAACGAGATTCTTGGACTCTGCAACCAAATTAGATTTATTCAGTTTCCAAAACGAGTAGAGATGACAAACCTTCTCCAAGAAACAGTACAGTATGCATACGATCACTGGATTACATTGTTGGTTGGACTTTTAATCCTTCTGTTTTATCGGTAAGTAGTTAGAGTCAATTAAGGGTGTTGAGAATCAATGTTTTGGCTGTATTAAGAGTGTTTGTCGCTCGAGATATGCGCAACTTACTTTTACCTTAATAACTGATTTGATTTTAAACTTTCGAAGCATTTTTCGCGGCTTCAATCAAGCGGTGAATAGAAGCCTTACATGAAATCAAGGTGGTGTATGAGCTTCTACGATATGGACAGAAAGTTGAATGACGCCATTGTTTTTAGAGATTGAACGTATGTAAATAATCCCTTGTTAGACAATAAAAAGTCACGCAACATTGGAAAAATAACTTTCGAGTTCTTTACAAAAGTAACTTCCCGGATGACACTGAAACGGAAATGTGCGTTTTTCATGTTACAAGTCTTGGCAACATTGGGTTAAAAGGATACATCAACATTTCAAAAATTTATCTCCTTTTGGTGACCACTAAGTTAGTTATCAGTCGTAGGAATTCAGAGTTAAATTAAAAGCCATTTTTAATGGCCAAACTTTCATGGCTACAATTTTGATATCTAAGTTACTGTTATCTTACCTTTCCAAGATACTGTGTTGCACCGTTTACTGTTTTCAAGAAACTCGGAATCAGAGGACCAACACCTCTTCCGTTTTTTGGCAACGCCATACAGAACTCCTTTAATGTAAGTTGGTTGGCTTAATTTTTTTTTTCATCAGGGCCTAGTTGTTCAAAGGGCAGGTAACGCTATCCATCTGGTAAAATCCCTACCTAGCGGATAAGTGTGCACAAAACGTACTGCGTTATCCACAGGATTGAGCTTTTATCCAGTAGGAAGCGTTATCCATGCACCCTTCGAAGAACTGGGGCCAAAATGATCTGATGGACGGGCAATGTTAATTTTACCTTAACGTGAAGAAGTAATTTATCATTAATAAAATCAAACGTAGTCTTGTGGAAGGCGCAAAATGGCTTGCCTGATTGCAAGCTCCAAACAATAACACGGTGGCATGTACTCAAGTTGAAAGAACAGGAAATCGAACAACGGAGCGGAAACTTGCACTTTCTTGACCAAGAAGAGAGTGTTGTACGAATGGGGGGGAACCTCTTGCAATTGTTGGATGCGGGCGCATCTTTAGCGATTGGTAGAACCATTTATTAATGACATAGAACCCTGCTGGCCTGTTGAGGCATCACTCCTAATAACCATTGACAAATTTCAACTCAAAGCTGACTTAGCCAGCATGTATCTTGAGGCTGTTTTATCTTAACTATGCCCATCATCAAGCCATCGCAAGTCCATGAGGGGGTTGAATTATGACTTAAATTCTCCCGTAACGGTGTACTGACTTACCTTTTTTGCAGCCAAATGTCATCCCAAAGTGTCAAATGGAATGGTACAGTAAATATGGAAAGATATTTGGGTATGTATTTTAATATTTTTGTTGAAAAAAGTAAAATAAACGAATCACCAATTGGCATCTGCTGATGATGATGATGTGATGATGGTGAAAGAAAGTTCTGGTTGCTGGCCGTAGAAACTACAATAGTTCCTAAACCAAAACGGCCGGTAGGGCTCCCCTATGTACCCTGCATTAAGTATAGTCCCTATAAGTTATTTCAAAATATATTTTCTTCTTTGTTTTCTTTTGTTTCTTAGACTCACCCTCTTTCAGAATAGAATATACATAAGAAAAATTCTGAGTCACCTATGGTTTTGGCTTGCGAAATGTTCCAACATTAAATCATATTTTTCATATCGTATCATCTTTTTGCAGAGTTTATATCTTTCGTCAGCCATTCATGGTGGTTGCTGATCTAGATATAGTAAAAGAGATCCTTGTCAAAGAATTCCCGAAATTTCACGATCGAAAGGTAATAATAATATTGTTCCAATTTCCTCACTTATAGATCAAACCCTTTTTGCTACGCGACACATTAGTAAAGGTTAGGTTGGTTTAGTTATTTTTCAGCATGGATGAACATGACTGGATATTCTGAATTTTTTCATCTCTCTATTATCTTAGCTAGAAAAGCAATTAATATTTTCTTGCAAGGGAAAATGCAACATTGATGAAAGCTGTAATTTGAAGCAAATGATCATCATCGTTAAGAGTGTGACAAAGCTTTAGCGCCTTACATAATCTAACTCATATACAATATATTCTCTAACTAAACGCTAATGAAAGCCTAAAATGTACTGAATTCAAGATAGAAATGACATTCTTCTATAACGTATAATTTCAGAAATTGATGAAGGATCTCAAGAAGCCATATGACAGAATGTTAACAATCGTAAGTGGTCAGAAGTGGAAGGATATACGGTCTACTTTGTCTCCAACTTTCAGTGCAGCTAAGATGAAGCAGGCAAGTTTCGTTTTTATTTTTAAATTTGTATTAATAGGCAATACGAGGCAGATCATTTATTTGTTCCTTCCCTCTGCTAATAAAAATTAAGTTGTTTTTGAAAGCGATGGTTGTTGTCACGAAAATTTGATTTGATTTTGGTATACGTACCTTTCTTGCAGATGATGCCCTTTATGAACGAAGCGATTAGCATTTTAATGCAGAAAGTGGACAGAATTTCCAAGACAGGGGAGACCATTGATTTTCATAGGTCATTACAATATACTCAATTTAAAATGATTAATGTAGAAGGAAAAACCGAAATGAACAAACCTTAATCATCATGTGATGTGACGATTCGGTTCAAATGAGTTCAAAAATAAATCGCGAAGGTTATTTGCATGAATATGGCAACTACTTCTAATTTGTTTAAGTAACTTTTCTGGGTTCACGGTTTGAACAGAGAACATAAAATATCTATGAAAACTAATAATAGTCTCAAGACTTGAGTTATACTTGAAGAGAAAGACCCTTTAGATTCTCCTTATTGACAAATTATCTTTACAAAATGGGTACCTGTAGAATTCGTTATTTATCTCAAACTTTTTTTCCCCTACATTCAGGTGGCTCCAAAGTCTTACTATGGAAGTGATTCTGTCAACAGCATTTGGAGTCAAAGCAGAAACACAAACTGTTGAAAATGATCCAATCACTGAGTTAGCAAAGAAGGCCATGGCTCCACACCCTTTGGTTGGATTACTGTGTTAGGATCTTTTTTCCTTACTTTTTTGTTAGTTCGTTTAGAAACTATCAAGAAGCTCTCTGCTTATCAATATCGGCCACAGAAAAGAAGTTAAATTATAGTCTTTTGGAACACACCATCACACACCCGTTGTATTATGGTACCTATTGGCAAAACAGCAGAAAGCCATAGGATTTATTTTCCCCTATATGTGCCACTTTTTCATGTGCTTACGACTTAATTACTTTAATCACACATTTGCAGTCCTGTTACCATTTGGAGAACACATACTGAATAACCTCCAGGATCCGTTTGATTTCGAAAAAATTCTTGCCATATCAGCCGATATCATCGCTGAAAGGACTGCCGCAAAGGACAGTAATGATGTACCCGTGAGTAGCTATCATTATGACAAAGAGCAGCACTCAGTATAAAATGATAAGTGGCGAATCTATAGCTCCTATCCTTCCTTAAACTGTCGGGGAGAATGCATAAAACAGAATACGTTATGCGTAATTGCTCAACATAAACGCAAATAAAACGATTTCTCTGGTTTTCAATTATCGTGGCTCGTATCCATCAATGGTGAAGTTATGTCAGCCACTAAGTTGCAGAAGCACTCTTATCCCGTTTGCCACGTTTTTATACGAACATGTCGTGATAAATTAGATGCTGGTATACTTTTGCGAAAACTAATGACCAAAAAACCATTTCCATTTTCATGGAAAAACGCTTAAAAGGATAACAATTGAAAAATAAAAACCATTTCTTCCTTCTACACTGATATCCATGCATTCCTTTGCTTTTAGCGGAAAGACTTACTGCAACTGATGCTGGATGCAAAGGATGAAACAGGAGGAGAAAAAATTGATTATGATGATATTAAGGCACAATGTCTAACTTTCCTTCTCGCTGGATATGACACATCCAGTACAACTCTCGCTTTCATTTGCTATGAACTCGTTCTTCACACGGACGTGCAAGATAAACTGAGGGACGAGATTGACCGTATGTGGCCTGGAGATGAGGTAAGTACTCAGAGTGTGTAAAATTTTTGTCAATAAACCAAACATTTGTTTAACGTAATAGTAGGAATCGAATGATTAGATTTTTGAGTTCTCGTAAATGAATTATGTTTTCGTAGGAATCTCCATCTTATGACTCGCTCCATAACATGCAATACCTTGACATGGTTATTAATGAAGCAATTAGGATGTACCCGCCAGGATTCGTGTGAGTAAATGAAATAGTGGATACGAAATTTTGGAATTACTTTGGTTTAAATCAATACAAATCATTTCCCCTTTTAGGGTACGTTTACTTCTAGAATGTAACCTGCATATGGTAAAAGTTTGACCAAATGGATGTGTAAAGCAAACTATCCAAGTTTAAAAGGAAAAACAAGGCGCTTAAAAAGACTATTACATGATGCGAGTATACCACTCAACTAGTTCTTTGAAAGGTCGATGGCTGCACTCTCTTTTATTTTGCGCCCGTGATTTGGCCTCTATCAAAAAGGCTTTCTGGGGATTAACAGGGTAATTTAGCGTTATCAGCTGAGATGAAAACGTAAATTGGCCACCGTAAAGAGTTTAAAGGCTGACGTTTCGAGCGTTAGCCCTTCGTCTAGCCCTTCCTATCGTTCTAACGAAGGGCTAACGCTCGAAACGTCAGCCTTTAAACTCTTTACGGTGGCCAATTTCAAATCAGTTGATAACACTAAATTACCCTGTTATACTCTCCCACCGACGCAGCACCACAGTCTCTTTAGAAAACTCAGGTGTAACTTTAGGTTATTTTTCATCATTGCGTCAGCCTTCAGAGAGATTGCATGGAGGCCTGCACTATAAAAGGGCTGCACATTCCTAAAGGATTGCCTGTTACGATTCCGTGTTATGCAATTCACCATGATCCGGAGATATGGCCGGAGCCAGAAAAGTTTGACCCAGAAAGGTGAGCGTAATCTAAGATGATATTCAAGCTCAACATTTTAGCAAGAGAGCTTTTGTTTATGGCATGTTTAAATGAAAATAATTGATAAATATTTTTTTTGTAAATTATTCTTCTGCCAAGGCCAGCTTCTGTGAAAGCTACAATAGCTTAAACCAACTAAGAGTACTGGGATCTTTCCCTTGATGGAATGTTGATCATTCACAGATGGATCCCAGTATTCTGTCAAGTTTCCTGTTAGTTCACCATGCAATACTACCCATATTCCTGATTGATAATAAATTTTAGGTGTCTCGCCTAGAACTCAAACCAGTGACCTGGGTGTAGGCCTCTGCTCACAATTTTTGAGCCGGCGTCAAGCACGCTGGTTATTATAGGTAACCTCGTCTCAAGCATGATGATACTTCCATTACGACAGGTTCTCAGAGGCAGAGAAAGCAAAGCGTCATCCCTATGCATTCATGGCGTTTGGATTCGGTCCACACAATTGTGTTGGAATGCGATTTGCTTTGCTTGAAATTAAGCTGACCCTGGTGAGATTACTAAAGAAGTATAAGCTGGAAAAGACTGAGAGGACAGCGGTAAATATACATCTTCTTTCTTTCGTCCTGTTCAGCTGTCCCTACCTAAGGTCTCATTTGTAATGTTGTTTTTTTGGTTTTCGCGGTTTAAATTTGTTTCTATGTATGTTCATACGTATATAGCCACTGACTGATAATTCAACGTCTGCTAAGAGTTTATATACACGCGTAAGGAGGGAGGCTGCCGTAGCTTCTTAAATATCGTAGATCTATCCATGATGTTAGAAAAAAATTTCCCGTTATTCGAGGAATCGCCTTGACTACTTTATTTTGACACTAGTACAATGTTCTTCAGTTTCGCAATATGTCGATTTACCCGTTTAAAACAAAATTTTCATAGCACGATGCAGTTACAAGAAATAAAAACGACATGTAACAGGCACCTAGAAGAGTACACAAGATGTCATGTGTGAGACAACAGAGTCAGTCATTCTAAATCTGGTCATGTATCGTTGTAATTGAGTCTTGGGAATTTAGTTAGCTTTCGTCTTTTGCAGGTTCCAATGAAGTTTGAAGTTATGTTTGTTCTCACCTGCGCTCCTGAGACGGTTATGTTGAAGATTTCACCGAGGGATTAAAATACGATCATATTGTATCTCGTTTAGCTTGTAAACCGATGACGACGTACTTCGCTAAAACATCTTATAGCACTCCTTTGTCAACCTCGGTTACGGTTTCGCCAAATGTTTTTTCACTTTTCTCAGATTGAATATTGTTTGAAAACGTCTATCTGAACGCGAGAACCGGCCAGGATTATTAGGTTAGAAGACTCAAACTAAATATATCCATTTAAAAATGTTTAGTATGCACAATTGTTATGCACTTTTAGTACCTGAGGCTTACGAAACGTTTCGAACAAATATCAGTGACGCTTAATACTGTGACGTAAGCAAACTTGGGCAAACTAAGACGTCAGCAAAAGTGGAATTAACAAAAATAAAGCACCAAAGTCACGTTACCTCAAAATACTGTGCCTTCAACGAAGAGCTTCACGATATTTTCAACACTGCTAAAAATACTGACAGAAAGGCATACAAAAATAACCATTATGTAGGATTCTAAATGTTTCAATCGTTTTCCGGAAGATGTCTACACGGATGCAGTTACACCAATCTTTAATGAAGAAGCTCACTCTTTCCATTTTGCATCATATATATTAGCATCAGAGCTGAGGAAAAACTCAGATTTTCTTCCTTCGATTGAAAAAATGTACGTACAACACTACCATTGGGATAAAGGAGTTCTGAAATATACCTCAAGCGGCGCGAAATTAAGCGTGTCTGTTGGCACGAAGAGAAGCGCGTAGGAGATTATGTAACAAGAAGTTACATAATCTACAAGCTTTTCTTGCTTTGTCATTTATAACAATCAGTACCTCCAGTGATTTTCTTTTCTAACTAGAAGCTCATGACTCTCCATGAAACGGCTGAGTATGAAAATAAGACCTTGGAGCAGTACACGAAAACCTTGCGAAAGACCATGTAAAGGACATGTTTTAAAGATCAGGAATGTGTCTGCCGTTCCTGATCACTGGTTCGTTCATGGAGACGAAGTCAATATTGAAGCTCTCAAGCTTATATTATATCTTTTGTAGTTATTTACAACTGATCTCAGTGCCTTGTGTAGGAGGGAAATTTTGAAGTAAGGAAGGGAAGTTGCATAAGCGACACGTTTTCTATCGCTTTCTCCATTAAAAAGTATCTCCACAATTATTTTTCTTCAAGGTGAAAGTCGTTAAAATTTTGACTTCTGACTATGAAAAGCCTAAGATACTTTTTCAAGCATATCTGAAAAGATACAGATTTTTTTAAGATTAAACACTGTTTAGAGTGATCAAAAGGCATATAGCACCAGCCAGAAAAGGATCTGAACTTGGCTGTCAGATCTCTTTAAAAGCATCTATTAAAGCTTGTTTTTTATGCAGTTTGAAAAGGGGATCCAAAATATAGGCGATAAAACTACCTGCACTACAACGATACGAGATTTAAAATTTTAAGAATTCTTTGTTAATCGTGTTTTGAAAAAACAGGCACAATATTCTACAATTGGTTTAGCTCTTGAATTATGTATTTCACTTGTCAAAAAAGTCAACTAACTTGTATCATGATGAAACTGCAGGTTATTTGTAGTTGACTTCAGTGAAGTGCCTGTTGAGGTTATATAATCAAAACAAGTTACATAATCTGAATCCGGGCTTATTTACGAAATCGATCAACTCCCTAAGAGGTTTGTGTTTTTTCTTGGTCTAATTCCAAGAAGCTATTTCATCGAAACTATTGAACAGTTTATTATCAAGAAATTCGGGCGCACTAAAGAGTGTATGTTGCCAGGATTAAAAATTCTGAATGTGTTCAGTGTTCTTGATCACTGATTCATGAATTACGTTGGTTTTCAGGAGGCGAGGTCAATATCAAAGCTTTTATTTTGATAGGTACCGTAACAAAAAAAAAACCATCTTCTAGCACAAGTTTGTAAAGCTTGATTCAACCCGTAAACACGCATCTTCGACAGGTGTATTGACCACTCTTTTCCATATTTAACGGGTGGTGTAAAGATTCTATTGAGGCAACCTGTTAAACCTGGTGGTTTGCCAGTTTCCAGAGCCCCAGCCATGAGACACCTTAACTTAAGGTGATTCCTTTTGCTTTGCACGGAAAAGCAAATTATAGGAAAGCACCAAGGCTTCCCTGTCATCAATTTTTCCACACTGCACTAAAAATAGTCAACTGGTCAGTTTTTCATTTGGGGTCTCAAATTAGCACTCCAGTACTACACGCTTCGCACTTGCAAAAAAATAATTTAGCTATTGCACTTCACTTTTATCTTGATGGGTGAATCGCGCTTGTGGACTTAATCTATCCATCCCATGCACCTTATCAAACACCCATCACACAACCTAGTAAGTTTACTTGTCTGATAATCTTACCCTGCTACACACTGTATGATGTAAAGGAAAACTTATAAACTTCACTCGGTTGAGTCTGATGCAGTGGATAAAATTTGTCATGAACCAATATTCTGTTTCCCTTTATCGTTGTCAGAACTTTCTTGAATCTTAAATAATAGCCGTAAATAATAGTATAATGTAAAGGACTCTTTATTGACTATTTTGCTAGCTCGAAGCTCCCGCAACGTTTCCGGTATAAAAATGAGTCTTACATCCAGTAAAAAGGCTCTGAAGTAATCGTCGATACCCGATTTTTTATTAAGTAATTTGCAAGAGATGCACAGACTAATATAAAATGTTGCCTACACATCCATGTCAGTTTTAATTGTCAGTTTAAAAAAGCTGAAACTTTTTTATCGGTGTAAACCATAATGCATGTTTAGAAGGTTTTTCGATTTTGTCACATTGAAATAATTTCAATTTCCAGCGGTCACGTACAGCACGCGATAGATCGTCGGCAGATGCTATTTTCAGCAGTTATCACGTAAAAGGAAAGCCGCAACTCAAAAGACGAGCGAAAGGGTTAAAATGGGACTTGGATACACAAAATTATATAAAAAACTGCAAGTATCCCATCTGACCTTTTTAGCTAGCCCGACTCTTTCAAACTTTATCTAAATTTGCAAGCGCAATGCATTGAATCGACTCCTTGTTTTTCATTCCTCATTACCTTTAAGACTTCTAATCACGAATTAGATGGCGGCTCGTCCAATCCAGAATTCTTAATAAACAAATAATCAAAATTGTCTGGCTTCTTTATCGTGAAACTCTTTCAACCGTGGTGATTCGAAAATGAAGGGACTGACAAAGAAAAAACGATCAAGCCTCACGTCATAACTCATGAAGACAATTATATCGTCCACACTGAATCAATATCAAAATTCTGCGTTACGCATGCGTTCTTAGATGTGACTCAGCAATTTGGGTGCATTAAATAACGCGTTACAATTCATTTCAGGTCTCAAAGCGGTAAGAGTCTTTTTGCCCGAAAGATCTCCCCTCAAGAAAAATGACGACTCGTGACAAAGCATCCGAACAACTTGCTGATTATGCAAAGACTAAGAAGGTAAAATTATCTTTCATTGATCGAAACAAGTAGTTATTTAAAATTTGTAACATTTTCTCGTTATAAACAATTTTGAAGGGTCGCAATTTTCACTAGAGTGCCAGCTGTCGTTTGTAAGGTCATGTTTGTACGCTTACTTTCACCGTGCGGATTATTCATTTTCTAAATGTTTCATCTTGAAAAGAAGCACATGACTTTTCTGAGAAGACTGTTGGAGTCCACACAACGAAAAAGCTCCCCAGTAATGTGTACATTAATTAATATATGGCAACGAACATGAAAGCGGTGCTTGCACGCGTAATGGCTAAAAAATCTTCCTGAAATGGCTAGAAATTCCGTAAGAATCATACAGCCAGTGTGACTAAAATGGAGAATTTTCTATGGACTGGAAAATATAGTTTCTGAAAGTTTTACCGTCAGTATTTGCGGAAAATGACGATGAAGCGAGGGCGAAATCAATACTTGCATTTAAATCATCCAACTTAGAGATATCTCTCCTAAGACTATTAATCCTTTCTTTTGGTGACGAAAAGCTTTCGAGCGGTTGTTAATTATTATCTTCTAACAGTAGGGATGCAAATGTGTTTTTGACATGATATGTTTCGTGCGAGAACAACTATGAGTTTAATTCCTGACGTATAAAAGGCATTTAGTAGTCCGTCAGTTCTAAGTCGTCACGCGATCTAAACAAATTTAGTTGTCGGCGGAGAGAGAGTTTTATTTTAAAACTTTTTGGTTTCTTAGGGTACAAACATAAGGTAAAAAAATTAAAGATGGATGAAAAACAGTCTAAAATTGCACAAAATCTCTCGGTTACAAAAGCGCTGATTATATTGTTGCGAAATATCTCGAAATTATCCGGCTGAAGTGGACAAGACTGTAATTGTGGTTAGATATATGATATACTACCCTCCTGGCCTGCCAAGAAAATATTTATTTTGAAATCTAGGAATTTTAAGCCATGATATCAATGCGGTTGTCATGTTTCAAGAATGATTTATGTATTAACAAGAGTTCGTTAGTTGCTGCGTCATTGTGTTCGGCAAACCCCGTTCGAGCAACTTGAACAACAACGGAATTTTGGTTCACTAAGGAGGAGGAAAAATAACTTTACTAGTGTAAATATTGGTTTGATGATGTGTCAACAACACTTATTATTTACAAAGAAATATTTCCGTACTTCGCAAAATTTCAGAGAAGTTATCCTGCGATCAATATCAAGGAAGTTATTCACATAAATTGAGGTTCTAAGAAGACTTGGAAAGACTTAACAAGACAATTCGAGCAGATTATCAGTAAACAAAAAATTAAACTTCAACGTTGATATCTTTCATCTGGTTTGAGGATTATAGTTTAGGAAAAACAAACCAGGTTGTTTGGATGAACTAAAACAATGTCATTATAATTCACCATCCGGTTCAGTTTGGTGAATTTTTACAATAGGCTAAAAAAATATTACATGTGAACGTAAATTTACATAAAATTGCAGACTGGACCTCACTATGAGCCGTTAATGACGCATATCCTTTGTTAAGTTTGGAACTTCCTGTGCAATATCAGCAACGACTTGAATTTGGTTGTGACGTCAAAAGAGGCACAAAAAATTCAGGAAAGATTACACGGAAATTTAGGAGGTGACTAAGACAATAGGAGAGGAGAAAAGCGCTAAAAATTGCGAAGCAGGTCTACATCGTCTTAAGTTTATACAACTCTCAGCTCTCACCCACGGACTCCATACAAAAGCGTGCTAATTGATTAATGCTGAGAGAACGGTGTTTGTGTTCATTTGCCGAAAAACAAAGCCAGGGGTATCTCTTGGTCAAGTAAATACCATGGTCTTAAATTAAATCTATCGACTACCTGTTGATCCACAGTGGTTTTGACTATCCGTGACATCACAAATATTTACCAGCGAGTGTCGAATGGTAAACAGAGTGACGTATATGATATTGTTCACCGATCAGCTAACGTCAAAAATTATTCAAAGCTTTAAGACATTACAAGTAAGTGGATTTGCCAAAACAAGCTTCGGCCGATCTTCTAGGGAAGTGATAAAATGGCCAACAGAACAAAAGCATCTGAACAATTAAGCGCCTATTCTGCGAAAAAGAAGGTTTGTGAAATCCCTTGCACCTAAAACTGCATGCTCATAGCTGCAGGAGTGATGCCAAAAATATTGACCGCATACGTACGTCGTTGTGCGACTAGCTCCCTCAGTAGACTGCCTCCGCAAACCATCGAAACAGTTCCTTTGATAATAGGAAATTTTGGATCAATAACAATTTTACTGGCTGGGAGCAAACGACAAAGAAATATGTTCTATAGCTTGAAAACAATTTCCCTTCCCTTTAAGGAAAGTTTAATACGCTGGAATCTGTCACGATAGGATAATTTGTTTCCCGTCCTCGATTGATTTGCACTAAATTAAGAGAGTGTAGATATCTCTTGCAAGGAAATAGAGACCTCAAAGTAAGCCTAAAATGTGTATCTTACTAAATTGGAAACAATAGTTACCAACCACTACGTGACATGCGAACAAAAGGGAAATCATACGAGATAACTCAGAATTTAGTTTGTTTCGATTAGATTGTAATTCCCTCGTCAGAATCTTGATAATCGTTTGTGTTATTGCAAATGTATATCAGAAATGTACTTTCGGTGTGTTTTTGCGAAGCGTTAATTATTTTAGTCGCAAGAAACGTGACATATGTATGCGTGTAGCCCAGATAATGGACCAAAGGAACGAACCTCGTCTCTAAGCACGACCACATTTATGCATGAAAGTGATTAAGCAACGTAAGAACGGTAGTAAAAACTGCTCAGAGCATTTTCAACGAAAATGCCTTAACGGTTTTCAGGACTCAAAGGTCTTTGTTATATTTGCCATTTATAACAAGTCCGACGACTCGTGAAAAATCAACGATGCGTCGATTAATGAAGATCGAAGATCATAATTGTTGCAAGAGCTGGAGTTGTCTCAGCCACGCTTATTGATCACACTTAAGAACTGTTCGAGCTAAACCCAGTGAAAAATAAATAAAAGAGCTGCAATGGAAATTGCAAATCAGAGTGCCCAAACAAACCACTACATTCGTGTGTGAGTTATTGAGTGCGTTTCACGGGTGGAGGACCTTCAGCCCCCTGGCACACCCCCTTCCAAAAATAAACAACATTCCCGTTTTGTTATATAACAAGTTTCAAGAGTCGATTCAGGATCACGCCTACGAACTCGTGGCACGACATACACGTGACACGGGATTATTTGTGGTAAAAACTATCTTACACAGTTACTCAATGGAGCTGGTCACTTTTCAATCCCAAATGGGTAATGAGCAGCGTAG